TGGGTTACAACATAGGCATGTGACCTGCTCTGCTACAGCTCCGAGGGCCCAGGACTGACACCCCTGACTGCTGAAGCTGAGCACTGTCAGATCCTGCCATGTCTAATTCTCTGTGTCAGGGATTCATGTGCGCCAAGCTGAGTGGCCACTACAAACAGCACTGGCAAAAGCCTTTGGCTGGTGCCTCTAACATTCTTCTGTGCCATCTTCAGAGCACAAAGCAACAGGCTCCCCAGTAATGCCGACACTGAGAGTTAAGAAGCCTTTGATTGCCCAGCGTTGGTGGTGCATGCCAGCACTTGGGAGGCAGATATAGGTGGATCTCTGTGAGTTTGAGGCCAGCCTGGTCTCCAGAGCGAGTGCCAGGATAGGCTCCAAAGCTACACAGAGAAACCCTGTCTCGAAAAACCACACACACACACACACACACACACACACACAAAAGACTTTGATGCCCTAGATTTCCATGCTTTCGGACAAGACATCTTATCCAATCAGAGCACAGACAGGAAGCATAATGAATGCCCAGGTCCTCAGAGCATTAAATGCACAGGACTCTGACCAGGGTGTGTAGTACACAAGAGGTCACTCTGGCTTCTAGTCCCAGTCAAGTGACTGCTCACGAGACTTCAGTTAAGTCTCCATGATAGAGACAGAAGCTCCAAAGGGCCCCAGACTTTTCTATGACTACAACAGAAGGTAATTAACAGAAAGCGTCACAATCAGCCCTGGAAAGATGTCAAGACAGGGCACAGCCAGACACTTTAGAGAGGAGAAAAGCCCAGGTCATCATACATGTATGTGGCAGTGTGTAGGCTGATAAAATGTAGGGTTATTTGCCAGTGTCAACCATGGGAGGACGAGAACCAGTGGGCAGATGTCCCTGGAGAGTGTCCTGACCCCGTGGGAAATGGCTGACTTGGCCTGCTCCCACCTGACAGGTCTCACCAGCAGCCTGCCAGCTGCCTCCCATCAGAGTGCTACAGAAGGTGATTTCTGAAACCTGCCCTAACACCTTCTAAGCGAGGCGTGGGCGGGTACTGACCCCAGCCTTACTTCCACCTACATCTATCCTGGGTCTAGAACCAGTGAAGTGCCAAACAAAGGCTTGGTCTCCAACTGCAATAGCTAATCATTGAGAAGTGATTGGATTAGGAACACTGTCTAAACCAATGATCGATCCTTTTGATGGTGCCATTTAAAGGTGGTAGAAATTTCCAGAGGTAGCTGGAAGAAGGTCATTGGGAATTTCACTATGTATTTTGTTCTCTCTCTCTCTCTCTCTCTCTCTCTCTCTCTCTCTCTCTCGTGTTTGCCCATGTGCACTCACCTGGGCATGTATACATTGAGGCTGAAGGTTGTCAATGGGTGTTGTCATAGTTAGCTCTGTCAACTTTGGCACAGCTGAGAGTCACCCGAGAAGCAAGTCTCAATTGAGGAACTGCTCAGGTCCAGTTGGCCTATGGGCATACCTAGGGGGCATTTCTTTGATTGCTAATTTATGTAGGAGGTCCCAGCCTACTGTGAGCAACACCAATTCCTGGCCTTGTAGTCCTGGGCTGTAAGAATGCTAGGTAAGAATGAGCCTGTGAGGAAAGCAGCAAGCAGCATTTCTCTATGGTTTCTGTTTCATGTTCTTGCGTGAAATGATAGACTAATTTGAAAGTGTAAGCCAAATATGCCCTTTCCTTTTGGTCAGGCTTGTAGCCCTAAACCAGAAAGGAAATGGGAACATTTCTCTTCCATTATTTTCCACATATTTTTTGAGCCAGGGTCTCTCATTGACCCTGCTGCTCGTCACTTGTCTAGTCCACTTGGCCAGCAAGCTCCAGGGATGTTCCTATCTCTGTGCCCCCAGCACTAGGGTTACAGGCATGCACCACTGAGCCTGGCTTTTAATGTGAGTGCTGGGATCTGACCTCAGGTTCTCACTAAGCCATCTTCCTGGCCCAGAATTGGCCTTTAAAGGATGATCTCTTTCTGTTCTCTGGCCTCCACGAGGGGAGTAACTTTGCTCTGCCATACCCTTCCCCCACAATGCTCTGCTTCACCACAACTCTGAAACAAGAGAGCCCGCTAACCATGGACCAAAACTTCTGAAACTGAGCCAAAACCAACCTTTCCTTCTTTGGTTGTTTATCAGGCATTTGTCACCGTGATGAAAGAAAGAACTACACAATGCTCACTCCTGATGGTATGTCCTTTTTCTCTCTGCTCACCTGGGGCTCCTCTCTCCTTACCCCTCCCATCCCGTTCAGCCCCTTTTCAGAAAACATGATGTGATATTCCTTTCCCTTACTGCAGACCATTCCCTATCCCAGTGCCGCATGCAGGGTAGTTACAGTGACCAAATATAATGCTAGATGTGGAAGGACCTTAGACACAGAGAGAGCTACCTACAGAAAGGATTGGCAATATTTTTCCTCAGCAGTCATATACCCTGTCTTGATTGCAGTCTCTCTGTGTGCACATGTGTGGGGGTGCACTCACCCATGTGTCATGTACACAGGCTAGAGGTTGACATCAAGTGCCTTCTATTGCTCTCCACCCTTTTAAAAAGCAGCCTTCTCCTTCTCCTTCTCCTTCTCCTCCTCCTCCTCCTCCTCCTCCTCCTCCTCCTCCTCCTCCTCCTCCTCCTCCTCCTCCTCCTCCTCCTCCTCCTCCTCCTCCTCCTCCTCCTCCTCCTCCTCCTCCTCCTCCTCCTCCTCTTCCTCCTTCTTCTCCCTTTTTTATGTGTATGAGTGCTTTGCCTGCATGTCTGTCTGAGCACCCACCTGGTACTCAAGAGGCCAGAAGTGGACATTGGATCCTCTGGTACTGGAGTTACCAGGCGTTCTTAACTACAGATTCATCTCTCCAGCCCCTTGTATCTTCCTTAAAAGCATTCATTTACCATGTATTTCTTTAGTCATCTGTGTGTGCACATGTCATGTGAATCAATTCTCTTTCTGCCATGGTGGTCTGAGGAATTAAACTCAGGTCATCAGTCCTGGTGGCAAGAGACTTTCCCCACTGAGCCATCGTGCCAGGATTCACATGAGTTTTTGAGACACTCTCTCTCTCTCTCTCTCTCTCTCTCTCTCTTTCCTCTCTCTCTCTCTTGAGACAGGGTTTCTCTGTAGCTTTGGAGGCTGTCCTGGAACTCGCTCTGTAGACCAGGCTGGTCTTGAACTCACAGAGATCCATCTGCCTCTGTCTCACGAGAGCTGGGATTAAAGGCATGCGCCACCAACGCCCGAAGACAGTCTCTTATTCAATGCAGATGCCATTCATTACCGAGACTGGCTAGCCAATGAGCTCCAGGGATCTGCCTGTCTGGATTCATAGGCTTGTGCCACCAGGTTTGGCTTCTTCATAGGTGCTTGGGATCTGAACTTGGGTTCAGGGACTCAGTACAGCAAGCACTTTGCCCACTGAGCCATCCAGGCCCTTGGATGATAACTGCTTACATCAGTGTATTTTGTTTTCTGCTAGATTCTTACTACTCAAAGGGTGTTGGCACCCCAGGAAGGTGGTGGTGGTGGAGGTTAAATCCTGGCTGTGACTGCTGAGTCAGAACTGGAATTATAACTATACCCCCAGAAGATTTCTAAGCGCATTAAAATTGGTGAAACATGGATCACACCCCATGGTGGTTAATACTGGCTGTCAACTACAGGATGTAAGGTCACCTAGAAGACAGACCTCTGTGAGCAAGTTTCTAGACTTAGTTAATTGAGGTGGAGAGAACCACTCTAAACATGGGTGGCACTATTCCATTGGGTCCTGGACTGAAGAAAAAGGAGAAAGCAAGCAAAGAAACAGCATTCGTGACAATGGATACAATGTCACCAATCACCTCTCACTCCTGCCTTCATGCCTTCTCTGCCATGATGGACTGTAAGCCAAAATAACTCCTCTCTGAAGTTACTTCTTTTCAGGTATTTGGTCGCCCTCATGAACGGACTAACTAATACAGACCCTAAGGATGTCAAAGTGCATATGGTAGTCCCCGACCCCCTCCGCCAGAAATCCATGTAGCTTGTAGGATTTGGGGTACAGGAAGTATTACCAAGTGACTGGCACTGCCTGCAGTGCAGTTTAAACCCCAACCACCTAACCCTAATCACTGCAGCGTGTGCACAGTGCTGCTCACTGGGACAGACCCGATTTGAACATCTTTACATGGAAAGCCTGAAAAGTTACACACACAGAAACCACAACAGAGCTTGGTCAGGGAAACTCAGTGTCAGACAAAGCACTCAGGAGGGCAATCAATCCTGGAGCCTTTTCAAGAGCCAGTGGCCCTTTCCTGAGTGAGCCTGGGCTCATCACAAAGGGTCAACTGCTTTTACAATTCATGCTTCCTGGCTTTGTCACATACCCCTGCACATTCTGACGAATTAGAAAAGCATATGTTATCAAGGACAGCAGGCTGGGGACTCTCATGGCACATGTCTGGTGACTCCTCAGAACCCTGCTGGAGAAGAGCGATCTAAAAACCTGCAGCAGCCTTGCTGGGACAGAGAAATACACACTTCATCAGCGGGAAGATTAATCTGGGATCAGCTTCTTTCCCTCATCTGATCCCTTCCAGATACTTTAGCAGAACACCTCCCAGAAAGGCTAGTTGAGCCCAAACAAACAAGTCATGCTGAAAACTACGCCTCCCGATCATTAGGTGTGTAAGATGCCTCAAATGATATCAAGAAGAGAGGCAGATTGACACAGATCCTAAGCTGGGAGGTAGGTTAAGACCCTAGCCTAGTTGTTAGGCAGCTCTGAGTCAGTTTTCTTCAAGTCTTAGCATCCCTTCCCTGGGAACATGCGGACAATGGTTGGCTCAGGATGGGTGTCAGAGAACACGGGTGTACATAGCACTGACATTCTGTCAATAGGCTTTTGGTAGGTGGCTGGCTCCTCCACAGGTACTAGAACCATACTTAGAGCTAAGAAGACAGAGTAGTGGTTGCCATGGCTGCCCTGCTGCCAAGGGCACTTCAGGGCATCTTTTCACTCACCCTGATCATCTCTGCCACATAACTCTCTGGACCGGTGTACTCAGTGGAGTCCTTCACTTTCACCAGCACGATGAAACACAGATAGTGCCACATGTTGTGTTCTTCCTTGATGTGCTCTTCAAAGGTGACGGTCTTGTTGTCAAACTTGTCTCTTTCTAAGCCTAAAACAAGAGACAGAACATCTCAGACTCCCACTGAGCAGTCATGGCAGAGGAAAGTCAGTATAGCCAGTTGTCTGGGCTTATCTGCGCAAAGAGTTGGAGTCTGTCGGCGCTGAAACACACTTTCATCATGGCAGGAGGATACAGGCTGTGAGCCTGACTCACCAGGGTTCACTTTAGTGTTTTGTTTTGTTTTTTATTTTGTTTTGTTTTGTTTTGAGACAGGGTCTCATGTAGCTCCAGCTGGCCTCAAACACACTATGTAGCCAGAGGATAACTTTGAACTCCTGGTCCTCCTGCTTCAAACTCTCAAGATCTGGATCTGAAAACCACTTCTTCCCTTTGCTACTGAACTTTCGGGTGCTTTGGCTGCCTCGTGGGTTCATGGGAACCCTCAGGGGTGAGAACATGGGGCTAGGCCCAGATACAGGAAGAGATCAGATTTAAGCTCCCTCTCCCAGGTAAATGTCAAAATGTAGGCATGGTGAAGGGAACTTTAAGCCAATTTCAGATGCTGTTTGGCAACTATATTTTGTAGAGGTTTGGGTTAGTCAATATGAAATTGGAGTTGGGTAAATAAAGACATATATTTCAGGCCATTAGCAAGATTTGGATTCCTCATGTTAAAAGAACGGAGCACAAATATACAGCGTAAGGAAGATAGACAGACACTGTAATTCTGAGTTAGAATTAGAGGTAGCCTTCTTTTAGTCACACACACACACACACACACACACACACACACACACACACACACATATATGAAGCTAGAGAGACAGATGTAGGTGTGTGCGGATCCGTTTCCATGTGTCTCTACACACACTCCAAAGTATAAACATACAACCACTTCCTATTAATAGCTTAGGCCTGGAGCAGTGGCCACCAATAGGAATGAGGACTTAGACATTGGCTACTAAATGCCCATTTCACTATTGAACAACTTGGGCATATGGAGAAATGGCTGATTGTATGGCTGGGTCAGGAAAAGCATAAGTCTGGGACCAGAAATTCTTACACTGCCAGAAAAATATAAAAAGTACAAAAAATATGACATGACAGAACACAGAAGCCAGCCTGAAGGGTTCTCACTGTTCAAATTCAGGGTAAACTGAGCATCGAATTGGAGTCAGATACAATGGCACATACCTGTAATTACCATAGTTGGGAGGGTGGGGCAGGAGGATCATAAATTCAAAGCCAACCTAGGCTACATAGTAAGATGCTATCTCGCAATTAACGGACTGAATCAGTAATAACAGAAAACAAATACATGAGGCAGGGATCATCACTGGGTACTAAAGCTGGGCTGGAAGTCCATTGTGAGGGATACTAAGGTTACTTAAAAGTTTCTAAGCATCCTGCCATACAGTGACTTTCTGATTGAGGAAACATGCCAATTATGTCCATAACCAAGCGTGCAAAGTGAGTATTGGCAGCTCTAAGGGGACTGGCTCAATGTGCCCCTGGGTATGGCATCCTGAGAGGGACAGAAGAGCATGTCTTTGATACTCATATAAAAAAATGCAGAAGCTCTTTTGTGGGGCCTCTAGCAGTGGGACCAGGACCTGTCCCTGATGCAAGAGCTGGCTCTTTGGAACCTACTCCCTATGGTGGGAGGCCTTGTTCAGCCTTGATGCAGAGGGGAGGAGCCTGGTCCTGCCTCAGCCATGCTTTGTTGATTCCCATGGGAGGCCTTCCCCCTTCTGAATGGAGAGGGAGGAGGAGTGGATGGGGAAGGGAGAAGGGAGAGGGGAGGGAACCAAAGGAAAGGAGGGAGGGGAAACTGTGGTTGGTATGTAAAATAAATTTAAAAAGTGATGAAAAATTGCAGAAGCTCAGCTCTACCACAAGGGAGCTTCCAAGAAGCTCAAATTGAGGGACATCCTACAAAGTAAGTGCCTTACAGTCCTCAGAAATGTCCATGGAGATAAGAGGGGTCTGAAGGTAGAAGGCCACACATGGCCTGGGACTTTCGAAGGGTGCTACTGGAATGAAGGGTGGGGTTTTTAAATTAGACAGGCAGATTTGTCTCTATTTTAATTTCCCAATTTCAGTAACTATTCTGCAGCCATGCAAGAGAATGTTCTTGACCTCAGCAGACACACAGGAATGTTTGGAAACAAAAGGGCATTGTGTCAGCATCGACACTGAAATGGCTAAATGGCTCAGAAAAACTGTGTGAGTGTGCATGGGTGCACGTGGGGGTTAGTTTGTGTGTGAGTGTGTAAGTGAGTGCCATGTGTGTATGAATAAAGCAAAGGAGAACTGGTCTAAAACTAGGAGAATCTTAAGAGCAGGGAGAAAATCTTTGTACTAGTTTTATGACTTTTCTGTAACTAAAATTATATCAAAATAAAAAGCTTAAAAAATAGGTCTCAAAGAGGCTAAAAATTAAAGAATCTAAATGTTTAAAAGAAAAAGTTCATTTTTTAGTATATATACTAGGAAGGAATTCATCAATTTAGTAAATATATTATGAATAATCCTGAAATGATTACTCGGCTTTCAGGTCCCCACATGATTAGTTTGCATCTGCATATATTTTCCTGTAGTTTTACTTATAGTATACTTTTAGTGACATTTTTGGGATCCCATGAGCCTATTTTTATTTTGTTTTTGAGAAAGGATCTCATAGAGCTCAGGCTGGCCTCAAACTCTCTTTGTACTCTAGGCTGGCCTTGAACCCATGATCTTTCTGGCTCAGCCTCCTCTTAAATTCTGGAATTACTCGTTTCATGCAGCAGTTCTTACTTAGCCTGCAGCGTGATGGGGGCTATGCTAGGAGCCTATCCAAGTCCTCCCTCCTAATTCTCACAGTGACGCAGAGAACACCACCCACTTTACAGGTGGGGACAATGCTTCAGTTAGTGTAAATGACTGAGCACAGGTGCTGGGCCAGTCAGCAGCTGAGGCTGGGTGAGAGCCAGGTATGATGCACCAAGTCCAAGCCTTTAAGAGACCTTTTCCTTTCTTTATTTTAAAAATGAAGTAAAAAAAAATTATTTTGAGACAGGGTCTCAACTATGTATCCCTGGCTGTCCTGGAACTGGCTATATAGACCAGGCTAGCCTCAAACTCAGAGATTTACATGCCTCTGCTTCCTGAGTGCTAGGATTCAAATAAAATTATACCACCCCTCAAACTTATGGCCCTTTATTACACACACACACACACACACACACACACACACACACACACACACACACTATATACATATATGATAAATATATAAACACCACCTACTGAGTCCATTAGTGTTGCTTATATGTATGTGCATATGAGTTCAGGTGCCCATGGAGAGCACAGTGTTGTATTGCCTGGAGCTGAAGTTAGAACTTGATGTGAGCCACCAGCTGGTTTGGCTGGCCGAAGTTATGGGTTATGCTCAAGAGCAGTGCATACTCTTAACCTCTGAGCCATCTCTCCAGCCTTCCTCCCACTCTTCTCTTTGAGACAAGATTTTACTAGGTAGCCCAGGTTGACCTGGAAGTTGCAGTGAGGTCATGCTAGCACTGAACTCACAGCAATTGTCCTGCCTTGGCTTCCCAAGTGTTATGATCACAGGTGGGTGCCACCATGCCCAGCTCTAATGGTATTTTTCCACTGGAGCCCAATCCTGCCAGTAGAGACTGCAGTAGGGTGATAGCTCTTTCTAGTTGAGTTAGAGCTGGACCAGGGGACTCTAAGGATGCTCAGACACAGAAAGACCGTGAGATACATTTGTCTTAAATGTGCGGCCACATTTCTACTCTCCAGAATTCAATTCCTTAAGGCAAACTGGCAACTCCTGCACAGAATTTATTGGCTTTTCAGATACTCCCCAGCAGAAGACAGGCTTAACAGAACTCTGCTGTTTGCCAAGAGAGGACAGAATGAAGTGAGTGTCCCAGCCCACAGGCTGTTTGTTATGTACCCACTCCATCACCATGTGTGCACGTGCTCAGCCATGCTAGCCAGTGGCATGCGTGCCTGCGTGCGGCAGATACTCACCACAGATGAAGCATGTGGTCTTTAAGATCTCCTCCTTCTTCTGTTTCTCACTCCTCAGGTCAGCAAAGGTGTCAATGATGACCCCAAAAATCAGGTTCAGGACGATGATGATGACCATGAAGAAGAAGAGCAGGTCGTAGATTACCCTTGCAGCAAACAGAGGCTCCTGTAGATGAGAGATGTCACCCTGAGGCCGTGTCCCCATTGCCCTTGGCTCTGAAGAGGTCAGAGCCCAGCTCCAGCTGGACAGATGTCCACTTGGGTGGGAGTTACATTGAGCATCACATTTTAAAACCCCAAAGTATGTCTCTATTTGATCCCTTGGGTCTATGCTGTGAATTCTCCCAGTGCCGGAGGAACACAACCAGGAGGGTCTGTAAGTGTTTTGGGGCTGCCAGGTCTAATATTAAAGCAGACCTATGTCAGGGGGGTAAGGAAACACAAAGTTGCTGTGGAGCCTTAACATGCCTTAGTGGGCATGCGTGGGGAGGGGCACCGACTAGCTTCTGCACAGTGGCTTGTCACACTCCCAGCTCAACATCCACACTGACAGTTTACACTCAGCACCAGCACAGTGCACCCTCACTGGCCACCCCCACGCACCCCTGTGCCCTTTCTTTCCCCTGGGATCCGTTTACCTCTTTGGATGGCTTCCTGAGCACATCTCCTACTCCACCCCCACTTCGCAGCCCGTGACTCAGAACGGTGACAATGCACATGAGCAGCGTCTCACACGTGTGCTCCTTATCCTGTTCCGTTTCTTCCACAGGGAGCAGCTCTGTGAGCAGGGCGAGTCATAACATAGTTAAGACAGGAGGGGGAAAGAGATACTGTGATTCTACAATGATGTTTCCCAAATGCCATCTCTCCAGCTGGCAGGCCCAAGAAATAAAACTAAGGAATTAAGAGGCAGATGTGTGCTGGCAGAATTCGTACAGTGCTGTTCCCACTACTAAACCCTGCTAACTTCTCAAGCCATGTGGGTACTGTCTACAGAGGTTCATACGTCCCCTGTTGTGTAGTTCTACCTGCAAACAGAATATATTCGGCCTAGACATAGAAGAAGGTATCTTGGTTCTCAGGTGAGGTATCTGCCAGGTCCCCAACTGGGCATGCTCAAAGGACAGAAGCATGGCTGGATCTTACCTCGGGGCCATGGCATCCATGGCTTTACATTAGGGGCTGTTTGTCTCACTTTGCAGCCTGCCTTGCTACCTTCTCACTGCATTGCTAAAACACAGATCTCCCTCTTAGTCTTTCATTTTGATTTATTGATTTTGTCCTGCTGGAGACTGAATCCAGGCAGGGCCTCACATGTGCGAGGCAAGTGCTCTCCCACTGAGGAAAATCGCCAGCACCGCCCCACTGCTGTAGCTTCTGGGCATCCATGAACATTTCACCTATGTAGCCTGACACAAGATCAAGAGTCTTTCTGGAATCATCTCTTGCTGCTTCTCTTGCACATGACCATAACCTCTATGAAGGAGTTTTACCATACAGCCTTTAGAATATCCTCCTCCCCTCCTTTGCCTAAGAATCCTTGGTTTCCGCTGTGGCGCCTTTACTTTAATTCTCTGCTGCCAGCCTATCTTCTAAATGGCATCCTTACTGAAGCAGCATTTGGCTCCATGATCACTCATTTGCCCATCTCCCCACCCCTGAGCGCTCAAATCTGCAGCTTGTTTCTTCACACGTGGCTTCCTTTTCTGTTCATCTCCCTCACTCTTCCAACTTTTTCCCTGTTCTGCTGGCCTCACTCCTGAGTGGTATTTCTGCTTTACTCTGCTCCAACGCCACCTGCCTCACCTAAGTCACCGAAGGAATCTGATATTTACCTGGGGCTGGTGGCCATTCGGTCCTACCTTCTTTGGGTGCAGGAGAGGTACAGTTCTCCCCCGTCTCCACCCTACACACATCCGAGTACAGGAAATCATTTGCCAAACTCTCGCCAGTTTCTGGGAAAGAGAAGGGAGTTTTGTGATGAACAATCTGGCAGCATATGGTTAAAATGTTTGAAGTCCCCAGTTCACGGCTGATTAAACAATCCTTTACATAAATAACACCCTCCAATACTGCATATAAATTCAAAGCACAGATGCAATTTACACTTTTATTTGGTGAGCTGGATGGGAAAAAAGCCAGAAATGTCAAGTTCTGTAGGCTTACTAACAGTATCACACTTAAATAGCACCTCTCCGACTTTAAAGACAAACATCTGAAACTCTAAGAGAAATACTATTGGGTGTACAGATTCCGGCAAGATCTGGATCATGCCTGCCCGGAAAGCAACATGGGCATGAATGACACCCAAGGCCCAGGCTGGTTTAGTTCAGAACCTGAAGGTAGGTGACATTAAGTGCCACTTGGTGTCAAGTGAAGGCTGAAGTTAAGTTGAACATCCAGATACACAATTGGGGGAGAAGGCAGTCATGCATGGTGTGTCATAGCCAGTCTAGTTTGTCCCAAGGACTCAGACAGCCTGGCCACCTTTAACCAGGTGCTATTCGTTAAGCATTGGCAGCTATTCTGAGAAAGAACACACAGGTATCATTTAAATATGGATCATTGTTTATCATTTGCAAATAGGAAATCACTTCCAGTTTTGTTATATATACAGGAGCTCATTGTAAAACACTCTTTTTTTTTTTTTTAAAAAAAAAAACAAGCCCCAGGGATAGACATTGCTAGCAATGTGTGGGTCTGTCTGTCCACATTAAATATACATATATTCAAGTGTGGTGTGTATGTATGTAATCCCAGCACTTGGGTGGTAGAGGCAGGAAGATAAAGAGCTCAAAGTCATCTTTGGCTACAGTAAGTTCAAGACCAGCCTGAGCTCTATGATGCCCTGTCTCATAAAATTCCACACACAGAACAATAAATAAATGTTTCAATCAAAAGTGTGATCTTACTATTGCTATTCTGTGTTTTCTCATGTTACCAGTGTTTGTCTGTAAAGGTGTATAAAGATGCACCCTATGTGTGGGGTACTCTACCTCATAGATGTGGCCACAATCCAGTGGAATGGCCCGTTATATTCAGGTTGCTCCCGACTTCACACTGCAGTGAACATCACTTTTTGAATGACATGAGAATGACCTATATTCATACTTCATATTCTGGTGTTAGGGAGATATCTGTCTGCTAATGTCATGTGTTCACTCTAGTCCAGTTATAATCCTGTTAACATTTAAAAAAGACTAGAGGATCGATCCCAAACCCACCTGGAACAGCCGTTTCATTGGGCAACCTGTCTACTTCCAAGATAAAGTCATCCTTGAAGAACAGATAGCCCACTATTGAGAAGAGGTAAACCAGGATCAGAGCCAGGACCGCTGTCAAGATGATGGACCGTCCATTGCGGGTGACACTTTTAATGACATTAAGCAAAGTCTCTTCTCTGTACACTAAATCAAAAAGCTTCAAAAAAAACAAGATGATAGAACAATTTTTAAGAAGCCTGTGTTTAGGTTTATGTCAACATCATTTACTCTCTTGGAAATTCAGAATCATTCTATAATTTTAACACATAACATGTTGCCTGTCTTCACAGTGAGAACTGAGATGGTAGAAATGAGGAAAATAAACATAGAAGAGGGGGTGGCAATCAGGATCAACTTCAAACAGCACACAAAACAGGTTAGAGGAGCCAGAAATAGAAATAGGAGTTTTAGAGAACAAGGGGGAGGAAAGTAATGAGGGTCTTGGCATCCATCCATTTCGAGTCTAATTCCCGAGCTTCTCCAAAGGACTCTGGTACCTGCCTGCCTCCAGGAAGAGCAGTATCTAGTGATGAAGGCAGACATGTTGACAAGCTAGTGCACATTGCAAGATCTCTGGGCTGCGGAGGCTCACATCTTAGCTCAGCTACTGACAGCCACTGGGTCTTGGGCATTGTTCTGTCCCCAGCCCCTAGCCTCAGTTTCTTCATTTGTAGACTGGAGAGTTAATATGAAGAGTAAGCTTAGCACACAGGCATACTTATATGCTGTGCAATTACTCTAAATGGCAATCAACAACTTCCTGATGAAGAGACTGGAGTAGAGTCACAGAGTACAGTTGCAAAGATGTCCACAGTAGTGACAGACCAGGAAGCCTAACCCCCAATCTCCTCCCCTAGTATATGAGAGACCCCTGAAGGTCACACTGGGTTAGGCCTGACCCCTAACTAAGGGACATACTCTCGACATCAGGAAGGCAGGATCCTTGAATGTCCATGTTGGCATTAGAGAATGGCATGTAGATTGTCATGAAGTAACCACAACAATTTGTCAGGGGAGCAACTAGAAGAGAGCTCTGGGGTAACTCTTGGACCTAGAAACTTTTATTATTATTATTTATTTCAATTAGAAACAATCTTATTTTACATATCAATCTCAGTTCCCTCTCCCTCCCATCCTCCCATGCCCCCCACCGATACCCCACCCCAGCCCCACTTCTGCTCTCCAGGGAGGGCGAGGCCTTCTATGGGGGGGGGGAATCATCAAAGTCTGCCACATCATTTGGGGCAGGGCCTAAGTCCTCCCTCTGTGTATTTTGGCTGAGAGACAAGAGACATTCTCTATGGGGAATGAGCTAATTTACTTACTTTTATTTAATTTGCATTGATATTTTGCCTGCATGTATGTCTGTGTGAGGGTCTGAGATCCTGGAGTTAGAGACAGATGTGTATCTGCCATGTGGGTGCTGGGAATTGAACCTGACTCTGCTGGAAGAGCAGTCAGGGCTCTTTCCTTCTGAGCTGTCTCTCTAGCCCTTATTGTTATTTTTTTAAGATGGAGTCTTCCTATGTTGCCCATGCTGTCAGCAAACTTTTTATCCTCCTGCCTCATCTTCTTGATCATCTAGGATTATAGGCACATGCTGCCAGGCCCGGCTGAAGGGGTAGCCTTTTGTTTTGTTAATTAATGTGCCTTCTGTCCTCATGTCTAGACAACCCTGAAAGGCTTGCTCTTCACTGTGGCTTTGGTGAAGTAAGTCATGGAGAAAGCACTGGGGCTCTTGACTCTGCTTTTGATTTACAGAAGATACTGACTGAGCCTCCCAGGACCTCCGTCTCCTCATCTGTAAAATGAGTGAATGGAAATGGCTGATCTCTCAATGTCTTCCAGTTTAGAATTTTATATCTGAGGCCATTTTCTGGCCAATTAACTCTTCTCCTCCCCAGCCTAACTCCAATCTGTGTCCTAAAACTAGTTTCCTAGAGGGAACTGGGTAGAGCAGGATCCTTAAAAGGAAGCTAAGAGGTAGCATTCAATCCACAAAAGAGAATTAAAGACTGTTGCTCTTAACATTGGTTAAGAGCAGTTAACAGCAGTGCAGTCTGAAGAACTAAGAGCATGTCACACAATGAACAAAGGGATCTGAGGGCAGGGGCCACACATACACAACAGATCAAACCAGAGAAGAATCTTACAGTTCTTGTTTTTTTTTTTTTCAGTAACTTTGAATTTGAAACAACAAAACATACTATTTATAAAAGGAAAACCTCTCAATTAAACAAACAAAAATTGACCCATGTTCAAAGTAGAAAATTTGGAAAAGATAGAGTTCAAAGAAAAAAATCCTAATAATTCCATCATCTTCAGACATCTGTTCATGTTATTCATTTCTTAAACATGTAAAGTATAGATATCATTAAGATACTGTAATAATGACACATATAGCCACTCTCAGACAATGTTCAGGAACATTTCATGTCAACATGATCTCCTAGTAGTAGATGGGAAGAATACATATAACATAGCCATTATCAGTTTCTGATTAGTCAGGATGTTTTCAGTTGTGTTATCAGAATTGCCGTTGTGATGAATATCTCTGGATATGCCTGTATGCACGCCTGTCTACTTATGGCTTTCTAATTTCCAGAAACCAATTCAAGCATGCTAGATCAAGTTATATTTAGTAAATAAAAATTTATAACCATTGGGTCCCCAAAGCTACCAGACCAGGAATTATTATGCTTTTTAACCTTTTCTCAAATGACAGGTTCAAATCACGACACCATGGATGTTTTAATGAGCTTGTTTTGGTTGAGTACTTAGGGATGAGCATGTCTTCATGTTTAGTGACCATCTGGAGTTCCCATTCTGTCACCTGCTGCTTATCAACTTTGGACATTTTCATCTCAGGTGTTAATGTTTTCTTAAGAATACAACTAGAATGCAGACTTGAGGCCAGGTCCAGACAGTTTCTGGGGGGCCATGGCACTTTAATTAGGCCAAGGGATCACTGTTCTATCTACTTCCCCACCTGGGTTGCCTAAGATGAGGAAGCTCGTTGGGGGGGGGGGGGAGGGGTACTAGATTTCTCTGCTGGAGGTCTCTTTGTGTTGAACACGGGAGGCTTGCTTTCTTTGTGGGATAATTTGAACAGCTTCAGTATTGTGTTTTGAATTCTCATAGGACATATTTAGTATTCTTTGGACAAGAAAAGAAGCTCACAGGCAAGCCAAGGCTCAGAGTACCCCTAGAAGCACACAGGAACAGCATTTGCCATGATCTAGGCTGACCCCACCATGCTTCTGTGCTAGATAGGGGGGGAGTTTTGAAAGCACAGGTGTGAACTATAGAATGAAATGCCAGTTTCATAGAGCCACAGGCTTATCCATGCTCTCAAGATGTATGCAGTTTGGACTGGGGGGGGGCTCAACTTACTGTGATTTAGGGCAGAAGTCACCTGACCTTACTATGCCTCATAATCCTCAGATGTGAACTGAAGACATCATCTACCTCAAAAGTAGGGTGAGAGTGTGGGAAAAGCATGTACTTGGCAAGAGGTGGCAGCTACTGTTTTGTGGATGGCGAGGTTGTGAGGTAAGGAGTGTTCATCTCATCCTACTCTGTCCCTTGCATTTAGGGAGGGCCCTGGCTGGCTCCACAAGTGACTTCAAAGAAAGGGATGAAAATGAAGATAAGGAAACAAGATCAATAGGAGGGACACTAGCAGGGAGAGCTATATCCCCACAGGGAGAGATGGCATGGGTCAAAGGCAAGTCTGTTCTTGGGAGACAGAGACACCCCAAGAGCAGGAACAAAAGAGAGACCCCACTGACTTCTGTCACTCCACCCAGGACAGACAGGAGTTTGCTGGACTGGTGGATGTAGGTCTCCTTGACTCACAGGTTGGAACTTTGTCCAAGGATGTTCTTGCATGACACAGAAAGGTTCCAGAATAGATACAGGGCTCCAAAGATTTCTAATGTAGAATGACCAAAATAGGCCACATAATGGCACTCACAAGTACATCCTGCAACCTCTTTGCCTAAAACCTCAAAGTATAGCCACAGAGATTCTGAAACTAGAGAAAATAATCCATTCCGTTTAGCCTGCCAACATCTACCACTAATGAGATGGGCTAATCCTGGTGAATTCTTTATGATATTTTTGTGTGAGAGCAAGAACAGAGGATGGCAAAGATAAGAATAGTGAGGCATCGTGTGGCTATGCTTGTCTAGGGTGCTGACATGAACAGTTGCGTATGACCCAAACAGTATCCCTGTCAGGGAAACTCATCCTTCTCACTTGTTAGTGAGGAACCTGAGGCACAGACAAGAGCTAGCAGCCCAGAAACCACACAGATAGCACTTCCTTAAAGGACTTTCCCCATCCACCCTTTGTAAATCCCTTCCTCCCTTCCCTACCTCCCTTCACTTCTTAAGCCAATACTGAGGCCTTGGACATTTTTGATCTTCATATTTTTATATTTCTTGTGTTTTCACGATAGTTCAAGTTTATGCTTCCTGCCATGTTATGTAGGTACAATGAAATTTCTTATCTCCAACTTTTTAGATCTAGGTTTCCTCTGACTACAGGACAGAAAATCATTATTTCACTTGTAACTTAATCTGCTTCCAAGAAAAGGGACAGAACCAACTCACAGACTGCCAAGGCCTTAGCCACCTGGCTCCATGGGAACAAGATCACTTTTATCTAGCAAGTTCTTTGTCATGGGTCTTGGGGCTTTACATCTTACTCCTACTTTGGTCCTTACATGGTTGCATTGAGAAACGGATCCCAGGGGACTGCAGATGATAGTGTCTTAGCAAGTGCTGCCTGAGTCAGAGAAACAGACACATATAGAAAACATGTGAATTACATGGGCACCTCTTCCATGAGTGTTAACTACAGATGTGCCTCACACAGGACACAATGGGACTGTACTATCAGGTTCCCAGGAGCTGCCTTGTTTCCTGTGTCATTTTTCTCTCAGATCCTCCCAAGACTGCATGCAGGTGGGGCTTGACATTACAGGACCAGGCACACTAGCTGCTATTAGAAGGTGGGGTCTGTGGTAAGAGATGACACAGTTCTCTAGGTGTGAAACATGGGAACACCGGGCACTCACCAGCAAACTATAGAAGAACTCATGTACGAAGAGGCCCATGGCACAGATCAGCAGATACAGCAAATGATAGAGGAACTCAACATCCAGAACCATGGCTCGATAGCCTCTGGTGAACGTCCCACAGTTGCCCACAAAGCTCATCAGAAAGATGATTTTATTGCAGACCTGAGAACAGATGGTGGAAGGAAGAGTCAGATGGTGCAGACCATGCTCAACTGTGCATGAGAACCCAAGAGGAGCTGTAGCACCTAGGGGCCACTCAGAACTGTCCTATGACTCCAAGTCATTCCATTCCTTTGCTTTTCAGGCATATTACAAATTACACGGTAGTCAAGTGATTTCTTGTGCACCAGTAATGAAGCAGCACTTGTGTACGGCAAAAACAAAATTAACACATACTGAAATTACGATTTTCGAAATGAACCATTTCTAACATTCTTATATGAGTCAGTCAAACACAAAAGTCGCCTCTATCCACGAACTCTGTGATCAGCATGGTTAAGGCTTCGTGTCTGAGCCGGCTCCATTCCAGATACTACAGAGGTGGAACTAAATGAGAAGTGGACAATTTTCATCTTCCTTTGCTTATACATTCACAAGTAAGATGAACATTTTCTTGAGAAACAAAAATAAGGTTTGCCAGGATGAGCTTTTCCTCTTGTACATCTTTCTGGAAATGACTTCTGATCTTCTTATGGGAATTCACTCTTTGCAAGAATCAGTTCTTGGGTCTGGAAGTAGCTTCATCCTGGCCAATCACAATGTTCTGTTCTTCAAGATATAATGACTGTTTAAGGATAGTTATATGACCAAATGAAGTCAATGAAACCCAGCAGCATTTACCCTGGGATTATAGCAAAAGACAATTTTGTTGTTGTTGTTTTGTTATGTTTTTCCTACTTACCTTGACCTTGACAGTTATGAGCTCAGGGCTGCTGGCCTCTTCTTACCATACCACGGGTCATGAAACCACAACATTACAGAGGACACAGCCAAACAAAGGGACATAGGAACTGGGCCCTGATGCCATTGTATAAGCCCCTATATTTAGCTATTCCTGAAGTCAAGCTCTTGATTTCTGTGACAAAATGAACCAATGCATTTCCCCTCTGCTTCAGCTAGCATTGGGTTTCCTGATACCTATTCTTGGAGGGACTCTGATACTGGCTGATACATTTGTATTTGGATAGAAACCCCATGTTTGGAAGTCCATCTCTAGTAAAACAGAAAAGGCTGGAGAGAAAGTTCTTTGAATGTACCCAGGAAAACCATCTTCCGCTACTCTAGCTCCCTTGGCACCAGGTGCACAGGTATCCTGCCAGCTAATCTGTAGGCCAGTGTAAGTGAGCTCCCTGACAATCAGATAAGTGAGGACTCTAGCACACACAGAGAGCCTCTGGCTTTCTCAGGCCAGGTTTTCCCTGAGTTCTAACCATGTGTGTAAGAGTCCTTCACAGTGTAGCAAAGCATGACTGACTCTGGACAGAGTTTTGGAAGAGGGGTTTGGAGAGATGAGGGGTAATCATAATCCATTTGACATCACAGAACCTCCACATATATCCAAGTTTTAAAAATCTGAACAGGCCAACAATCGACTCATTGTTCTCTTTAATGCTCACTGCTTTCCCAGCCCATTGCCCTACTCCATATTGACTCTGCTTTATCAGCTTTTGATCTAGCTTCCTGTTCTTTCCTGCTCTATCTCCAAGGGAGTCTGCCCATACACACCACATCTTTGCTTATGCTCTGAGAGCATCCATCCCCGCTTCCTCCAGCACAAGACTCATCACCTTGTCTTAACCTTAAACCCAGGTGGTCCAGCTTTTTGATCCCACCCCCTAGCCTCCTCCCCCAGCCTTCTTCTGTCTGTTCAGTTATTCTTCCTTCTCCCATACAGTATAGCTGGTGTCTCCTGCTAAAAACAAAAACAAAATCCCTCTAAGTGGTTATTTATGATAACTGGCCTCCACAGCTAATGCATTACAAATGGTAATTAGTTGTCTAACTTGAGTTTCTTGCAAGTGGTTTGTGTTAAAGATGTGTTATCTGTGGAATAATTAAAGGACAGAGCGAAAAGAACTAGACAGTACATGGTAGACAATCTCTGAAGTACTAAGAGTCTTTCTGTACATTTGCCAGTCCATCCATCTATCCGTCATCTGATCATCCTGTATTCGCTCTTAAACTTCTTCTCACTGCATGTGACACATGTGACACCTTCTCCAGAACTGTCTCTCTTGGCCACCGTGCTCACAGATTTTAAAATGTCAGCACTAACATTAATAGGCATGTCTTGTCACCTCAAGCATGTTAAGGGAACAACGTGAATGCGTTTTCACCTTAAAAACTTGATTGTTGCATCATTTCATTTGAAATGGTGGCTATAGTCTTTGCCCAGTCATCCATGACTGGAAATTTTGTAGTTAGATTTGTCATTCTTAGGCTAGGGGGATGGCTAGGTTGTTCAAGTGTTTCCTATGCAAGCCTGAATCTGATACCCAGAACCCATGTAGAAAAGAAAAAAAAAATATTATGTGGTGATGTGTGTGCTTGTTATCTCAGTGCTGGGTAGGCAGAGACACGCAGGTCCCCGGGACTAGCTGACCTAACCAAATCAGCAAGCCTTAAGCCAGTAAGAAGGTTGATGCCTCCTGAGGAATGACACTGAGGTTGACATTTGATCTCCATATGCACTGCACAAACACATGTACACACATGAACACTCCCTACCCCAAGACCCAGGTGGTTTGAATGAGAATAGACTGCATAGGCTCATGTATTTGAATACTTGGTCCCCAGTTGGTAGACTATTTGGGAAGGATTAGGAAGTGTGGCATTGTTGGTGGAAGTGTGTCACAGGGTGGGGGATGGGAGTAGGGAGAGGATTTGAGGTTTCAAAAGACTAGCACCATTCCCATTTTGCTTTCTCTGCTTCCTGCTTGGGGATCAATTTGTGAGCTTCCAGCTTTTCTGCTGCCATACCTTCTCTCTGCCATCAGTGGAATCCAACTTTCTGAAGTCATAAGCCCAGTGCTTTATAAATTGCCTTGATTATGGTGTTTTTGTCTCAGCAACAGAAAAGCAACTAATACGTATAATAAACGTGTACCTTTTATTGCCCTCCCAATCAAGACAAATATTTTCTTTGCTTGAAGAAAAAGACCTTGCCATGGTTTGTCAAGGATATGGCTCTGCCTTTTTGCCCACCTTGTGGTATTCTTTCCTTCAGCTCTGTGATGCCCCATGTTGTTTCTTTTGTCTCCACCATGACTCAGCCTTACCACACCTGATCAAAAGCACCGCCAGAGCGCCCAAAGGCCTTCATGCCTACAGCACCTCCCACTTCAGTCAACATAACACGGGTGAATGAATTTTTGAGAATGCCTTTGTACAAATCGTCTTGCTCAAAACACTGCCAGCACTTCCTACCAAGGTGAAGAGAGTCTCCCAGCGTTTATTCCGTACAAAATTATTCCCAACTGACACGTCTACAAAACTACCCACTAAAGCATTTTGGAAACCTGAGTGTGCAGGTTTTCTTCCTCAGAGATTCGTGATCATTTCTGTAGGCCTCTGATAAGTCTCACAATTACACTAGTCTTAATTTTGTCGAACCTAGTACTTCCTGTATGGATTGTACCATTGAACCTTTCTTTAATTTCTCCCTTAACATTTACCACTACAGGTTGATATTTTGGAAATGGACGTGGACCTGGAAGATGAGGTCCAATGGATTTTTTCCTAGAGTTCAGTGTCCTGGGATTAGTCCCCACCCAAAACACACTCTTGCTGTGTTGCTCCACTTTAGTCTATGGGGCCTAAAATAAGCAGTGCTTTTCTGACTCTTGTACTTCCTGGCCTTGCCTTTCCTATTCTTTAAGGCACAACTTCATAGGGTGGGACGGCAGACACCCATAACCTTACCATTCTGGAATGCTAAGGCAGGAAGACCATGAGTTTGAGGTCAGCATGGGCTACATAGTGAATGTAAGACCAGCCTGGGCTACATAGAAGGTTCAAGACTAATCTTGACTACACAGCAAGACTGTCTGAAAACAAAAACCAAATAAACAAAACTCACAATTTCAACCACAATGCCTTTCTCTGAGCTTATCTTGCCAACATCCTTGTTGCCTTTGCTGTCTGGATACCTAGACATGGTTAGGTAATACCCTTATTTTTCTGACACTTCCATTTTTATATAGTCACCTCAGCTTTCTTATATGCTTAGAACAGAAACCCAAACCAAAGGAAGTTACCTTTAGATACCCATGATACCTTTCATGCCTGAATTTTCTCTTTTCCTCCACCAAGAGCCCTGTGCCACTTACAACCTTCCATCAGCCATCACCATTTCCTGAGAACCCTTGGCATCCCTTCAGCTATAATGACGGCATTCCTATGTGTTCCACTGACATCTAAATAGCAATCCCTAATTCTCTTCTCTCTCCACTTGCTCCATCTGCTTTTTGAACAGGCCCTCTAACCTCTCCCCTCTTTTTTGAGTGAGCCTTGACAAGTGAGTGCTATGTTAATATTTGATCATTTGCCTTACTGGCTAAAAACCTATGGCACAAACAAACCTTTGGCCTGACTGGTCAAACTCACTTAAACTTCCTCTACTGTTATCATTACTGTCTAGTTCTTGAGAGGGCTACTCCCAAGAAAAGGGCCTGTTGAGGCCCAAAAGATGCCCTTGGAGGCCCTAAAGAGGTCAAAGGAAGATGCCAATCTGACAGTCTTTTTATTTATTTCTGGATTTAAAGCACAGGCCAAGATGTGAGGGACCAAATGAAAAACATTCCTATTAACTCACAAACAAGAGTTGTGCTATAAAACTATTCATACTTACATTGAAAGCTCCCAGCAGAAACAGTGTGGGCTGTAACCCAACTGAAAATATCAGCCGTAGGATTGTGGAAGCAATTAAGGCCCGGATGCCATGAGGCTTGGGCAGAGCGATGACAATTGCCAGAGAGATAAGCATGGCTGTCCACAGGAGGCCTGACCAGTGTGGCTCTAATGTTCCTGGAAAGACAAAACAGAGTCCTTTGGAATTTGTTTTCATGGCATCTAGATGACAGATTAAGGCAGGTCTAATGACACTTTTCTTCAGTCACCTCTCTAAACTATGTTGTTCTGATTTTCACCTCAAATCCTCAAAGCTTCACTGTTTTTAGACTTCCAAGGCATCATTCATATTTCTTCTGCCTGGAAAACTCTTTGGTCCTCCTGAGTACCTGTGTTTAACTGACATATTACTGGTACTTTTTTGGCAAGCCATTCCTACTCACAAAGAACTTGCAAAGTGTTCTCCTCCCCATACTTCTTGGTCATTTCTATAGGCCTGGCATGCTGCTCAGCTCTCTACCCACTGAGGTACACTCCTGGCTCAAATGCGGCTCATTTCCTTTCTTTCTTTCCTTTCTTTTAAAAGATTTATTTATTTTTACATGCACTGGGGTTTTGCTTGCATGTGTGTCTGTGTGAGGGTGTCAGATTACTTGGGGCAGGATTATAGACAGCTATAAACTACCGTGTGGGTTCTTGTGAGACTTGAACCCAGGCCCTCGGGAAGAGCAGCTAGTATGCTTAGCTGCTCAGCTATCTTCTCCAGCCCCAAATGCCACTATTTTCTAACCGTCATTTTACTTGTCTATCTTCTGTCTAGACTCCAAATTCCCTGAGAAAAGTACCTGGCACAGAGGATCTACCAGATACTTATTCAACAAATAAAACTGATCTGTAGGTCCTAATTCATTCCTGGGAATGGAGGAACTGGAAGCCTAAGCTTATTTTCTATTAACAATATGTAAAGGAAAACTGCAGGTTCCATGGTGCAATCTGATTTCCTCAAGGGAAGGAGCAAGGCCACTTCTGGCTCTTGAGCATCATCTACAGTTAGATTATCCCTGCAGTCAACGAGCTCCTACCAGTTTCTGTCATCTCTTGCTATTTCAGGTTCTATTTAGAGTGTCCCACGAGATGGCTTGGTTACATAATATGAGCCAACATGGCTAAAAATACAGTTCTGTAAAACACTCATTAAAAAAAAATAAAACACCCCTATTGCAAATGCTGTCACATTTTGAATCTCCCTCGGATGTAAACAAGCAGTGCTACATGATTCAGGACACTTATATAAAGGGATTTCTCTTCTTTAGAATGGCCAGAAGTATATAGCACAGCTCAAGAAGAGGTAACTATGCAGGTGGCTGCTCTTTCTCTGGCTAAGTCACACCCGCCCAGAGGCATTGATTGTCCCTTCAACAACTGTCCCCCTCGAGCCAACCACTTTTTTTTTTTTTTTTCACTTTTGGTATCCTTCAGAAGGAAAAACTGGTTAAAAACAGGCACAAAGTAGCAATTCAGATCTCCGTATCCATGTTAATGTTGGGTGGGTGTGGTGGCTCTCCTGTAAACCCAGTGAGTGGGAGGTAGAGACAGGGAATCCTCCCAGCAAGCTTGCTAGGTGGACTAGCACAGGGGTGGGTAAGCCAGCCAGGAAGTGGTAAGCATGGGAGAGCTGCCCCATTTCTCATCTGTCTTGTGGTGGCATGAGCAGGAGAAAGAAGCCCTCCACCATGCTCAACTCACCAATGCCAAGACAGGTGGGAGAGCTGGCCCTGTGGTCATAAGAGTGGGAGAGCCATCCCTGATCCCCACCAGCTGCAACACTCGGGAGAGCAGGCCCTGTATCCTAGCGGGACAGCATAACAGATCAAACCCCTTTAGCTGACGTGTGGTGAGGGTGAGCCACCCCTGAAATCCTGAGCATGGGACAGTTGTCCCCATTTCTCATCTGGTGGATCAACCCTGCAGCTGCTCAGGCCCAGAACCAGGGTTATGACTTGGCCCCACTCCCCAACACCCACCCCATCTGTGATCTGCTGGAACACATAAAGGAACATGACTCACAGACCCAAAACTGCAGGATCTCCACAACATAGGACACCAGCCGGATGTCCAGGAAGAGTCCTAGTGGGGGTCCAGCACTGAGTATGTAGTGGAGACCAAGGGCCTCAACCAGACCAATGACTCTTTGTAATGAACACTTGTATGCACAGATGTATGGACCAAGGAGTATATGGTATGACTTGTTGGGTTTCACTGCAACTTCCGTAATAAGATTTTTAATTCTTCCCCATGCCTTTTAAAACAATTCTCACCGGATGTTGGTGGCACACTCCATTAATCCCAGCACTCAGGAGGCAGAGACAGGCGGATCTCTGTGAGTTCGAGGCCAGCCTGGTCTCCACAGAGAGTGTCAGGATAGGCTCCAAAGCTACACAGAGAAACCCTGTCTCGAAAAACCAAACCAAACCAAAATAAAATAAAATGAGAATAAAAAAATGAGAATTTTTTATTCTCATTTTATTTTATTTTTTTCCTCTTGAATTTTGTTTTACTTGGGTACAGGGGTGCAGGGGCAGAGGGAGGATGCAAAGGGACAGGGAATGAACTGGATCAAGATATATGCTGTGAGAAACACATAAATAAATTTTATTAATTAAAAAAAAACAAAGTAATGGGCACAAAGACATATAAGGTTTATGGAAACTCAAAATGTGGGTTCTGGAGGCAATGTATCACTTTGTGCACATTTAACAACTGCCAGGCATCATAATCTCTCTCCTGTTTTCATTAATTGTCATTTATTCAGCCTCCTCTATCAACCTATAGGGTTGGTGCAGTATCTCTACTTAAAAGGTAATTCAGGTTTTATCTAGTTTCTCCAGTTACATAGAAAATTGGCTAGATGGTACATGTCTCTAATGTTAATAGTCTGTAGCTACTATTTAAAAAAAAAGAAAAAAAAACCTCACTGTAAATATGTATCAAGAATTTTGGCAGTCTGTAGTCAGATGGCCATCATAGAATAGTGTCACCACAATCAAGGCAGAATGTGCTCACCCTGACAAACATGAGCACCCTGACTGATTTCCTGGAGCTCTTTGCAGTTTATGTGTTACCCCACCCCTACCCTCAGGCTACAGAGTGTGCTTTCTGTTACTGTAATGTTGCAATTCTCATGAAAATGGAGAAAAAACTGTATTCGTATGTAGTCCTTTGTGTGTAACTATAAGTGTTTAAGAATCAGGCTGGTTACTCCTACTTCATTGTTTGTTGTTGTTGTTGAGTTATTATGGATGTACCACAATTTATTTATTCACTCCATAAATGAATGGATATTTGTGGTCATCCCAGTGTGGAGATGTTCAAAATGATGCCACTAAAACATTCAAATGCAAACCTTGGAGTGGAATTGATGCTGTCATTTCTTTTGGATAAACAAAGGGAAGTAGACTGTTGTTTCTTATGTATAATGTGTAACTTTGTGAGATGCTGCCATATTGTTTTCCAAAGAAATTGCACCTTTTTTGCCTTTTATTAGCCCTTGATATTGACAGTCTTTTGTATGTTAGCCATTCTAGCAGGTCTGTAGAATTATATCACTGCTGTTCTAATTTGTATTGACTGACAATTCACAATGCTGGCTATTTTCTCATGTACCTACTGGTCATTCTTAGATCTTCTTTTGTTATTTATTTGGGCAAAATACCTTGCCCATTCTTTTACTGGGATATTTCTTTTTCTATTATAGTATTTTACATGTTCATATTCTGTATATAAATCCTGATATATTCAGATATATTCTTTGGAAATATTGTCTCCCATTCTCTGGCTTATCTTTAATTTTCATAAATGTTTAAAAACCATTTTAAACAGATTCTTTACCTTCCTTCTGTTTATCCTTCCTTTCCTTCCCTCCCTCCCCCTCTCTCTCTTTATTTCTTTCTTTGGCTAAAGGCAACATCACACTATGTTGCTTTGGTTGGCCTAGACCATTTTGGGCTTGAATTCACAGAGCTTTGCCTTCCATGTGCTGGGATTGAAAAACCCATACAACCAAGCCTGGCTTTCAACAGATTCTTAATATCTTAACCAAATGCAGTACAACACTTGCACCCAAGTACTGAAGAGACTAATGCAAGAACCTGCTCTTTCTTCCCTATTAACTGAAAACTAGTGCTAGACTCCAAGAGACTGGGTCTAGAAAGAAATCTTAGAGACAGCTGGAGAAATGTGAATTTGGACTATTATAGGATTTACTGTTAAGTTTTGTTACATATGATAATGGAATGGTGGTTATATATATTTTAAAATATGCTTATAAGTTAGAGGCACACTGAAATATTTATGGTCAAAACAACAAAATGTCTAAACTTCTCTAAAATATTTCAAAAATACAGTAGGGGGCTAAAGGAAACAAGTTTAGCAAAATGCTAATTGTTCAAGCTGGGCTGATGTACATGGCAGTTTGTCATGCTGTTCCTTCCACTCATGAGTAAGTTAAAAACATTTCAATTGTAAGAAAGTTTAAGGAGCCCCACTGTCTTTACTTGAGCCACCACGGCGTGCTCATAGACTGAGCAGTATCTGATTCTGCACCAGTGAGGAGATGTTTGGCAAAGGAGCTTTTAAGGTCACAGCTGCCCTTGGCTGCTAAGATCTCATAAGTCACAGAACCACAGCATTGTGCACAATAAGGATCTTCTGCATGTCTTAGAGGTACATTTTAGAAATCTTGTTTTTAGGATGCAAGAAATTGTGATGTAAACATACACAGAAAATTTTATTTTGGAAGAGCTGAAGATCAAATCCTGGCCTTGGTCATGCTTGGTGAATATCCTACTACTGAGCAGCACCTATAGAGTCTAACACATACTGATCTCACATCAGCACTTTCAGGTTAACAAACCACATCTATTTTCTGAGCAGTATGAATGCAACCATTTTCCTGTAGACAGTTGGTGCTGAGCACAGAAAATTCCCATAGCTCATGTCACAAATGGAAGAATTCACTCTGATAGTGAACTGCTGCTTCCAAGGTAACCTCAGTCTCCATATCATGAAAAGGGATTTGTACGTTAAATCCTCCTCCTCTCTGAAACTGCTTTCCAGTTAATCCACTGGCATGGAGTTCTAAAGTCCATGGCCCAGAATTAGACAAAGAAACCTTGTCTCCTTCAGGCTAATGAAGGTGGGTGCTGTACCCAGAGTGCATCACCATAGAGTTGGGAAGATCTTAACAGTCACCTCATTCAGGGGTCTCAGATTTGAACTGTAAGGGTTTAGGCTTCTACAACTATTTTGTTAGAACCTTTTAGGCATTCCTGAAGCCACACCAAAGTCTCGGCATCCTCACTGTGTCAGCATCTAGTAATATAAGGAACATCAAGGAGTAACCAAAGAGGCCTGTATAGAGTCATATGACCAGTGGCCAGCAAACCCATGTCTAGAATTCTACAGTATGAAGGCTAATACTGAAGGGGGGTGTGTGTCAGCTAACTGTCCCCAGACACTGACCTGGATGCTGGTACAAATGACCAGTGATGAAAACAGTCAGGGGAATCATAAAAATCTGCTTGAAATATCTTTAGAGGGATGGAGAGCACATAAAAGCACATGCAAAGAAATGTCTGAGTAATCTGCTGGGATTGGAAGGAGACCTGGGTAATCAGCAATGCAGTCTGTACTGACTCCCTGACCTTACTGCTCTAACCTCTGCTGATTAGCATCTTGGTTAAGGGAAATACCTTAATGTCAGTGCCTCTCAAATACCAGTTATCAAGCTGAGGGTCCCCCAGAAGAAAACTGTAGACCTGTGTTCCAATCAAATCTTTTCAAACATAAACACTCATGTTTCCTGATTTGGCATTTAAAGAAAGAAAGAAAGAAAGAAACAAACAAACAAACAAAAATGCCTCTGGACCTGTATTTAGACCATGCTTTGGGGGGGGGGAAGTGACCATGTAAATGATGCCTTTAACCTAAGTCCAAATATAACTGTGAAGTCCTTGAAAGGGTATATAGTATTATGCAATGTTATCATTTTAAAGTTGGTCCTTAAACAAACTTTTATTACATATACACTGCTTAGACCTACAACTATAATATTCAGTTCAAATATTCTCAGTTCTTTTCTGGGTCTGATTGGGGGCTTCTTTATCCCACTAAGTTTCATACAGGATGCTGCTGGCAGGTTGTTTTATCTAAAGGCAAAGTGGTGTGCTTAAAATGCTCTGGTGAAATTTTTAGCTAAAAACTGAACCTCCCTGGACACTGGGATGCATGGGACTGGGTACATGGCTCCATGCTAGAGCATTTGCTGAGCATGTATGAGGCTTTGGATTGCATCTTTAATGTGGTGAGAAGGAGGAGGCATGAATAGCTAATACAGGAGGAGCATTTCCTGTCTGCTACCAGAACCCCTTAATATCAGTGTTAAATGCCAGTTATCAATCTGAGGGTCCCCCAGTAGAAAAATGTTGTCCTAAACTGTTTGCCTTTTCTCATCAAAACATGCAGAAGGCTCATGTGGATGCCTGGAAGGAGATGGTGGGTGGGGGAAATCCATGAATGGTAGCCGGCAGCTCTCCACAGTCTAAACATGCAAGGAGTACTGGCTACAGTCTCAAGACCTGCCTCACCCCTGAGCCTCGAAAGGGAAAAAAAGATTCCAGAGGTTTCTTACAGTCTTTACTTTGAAAACTATTCCAGAAGTATGGTGTGGGAAAACACACAGTGGATTGATTACAAAAATGTCTATGCTGTAAGATCAGCTCTACCACTAACTAGCTTGGCACACTGTGTCTGTCAACTTCTCAGACACATGCTTTCTCCATATGTAAGACATGGTGCTTAAGACAATTTCTGACAGGCTCCATAGCTTTCCCTCCTCCTCCTTTTTTTTTTTAAACTATTTTAAGTTTGATTTAAAACCAAATCTCGGGTAAAAGCTACTATTTCATCTTATCTGGAAATGGGTAATCTAGAAACTAGGATCCAAAATGGCACCAATGGTTTCAGTGATAATTTAAGACCCAAGTTATAGCCTTCCTGTTGTTATCAGCTGTTTCCTTGAAATTAAGTATACTGAGCCAGGCATGGTAGGATATACCTGTTTGCCGACTAGTTTTATGCCAATTTGACATAAGCTAGAATCATTTGGGGAGAGAGAAACTTAAGTGACAAAGTGTCCCCACCTCTGAATGGGTTCTCAAAATCAGTATTCTCAGATTTTAGGGTATTTTGTTTTCTTCTTTTTATAAGTATGATTTTAATAACATTTTATTTTTAACCTGGATGCCAGTGGGATTCCCTAGTATTTAATTTACTTAAGAAAAGAATATCTCAAAGTGAAGAACAAGTCTGTGTTTCTCCCCAAAAGTTCTGTTAGCAAAATCAAAAAGTAGGCTGAGCAAGCCCAAGAGGATCGAGACAGCAAGCAACACTCTCCCATGGCCTCCTCTGCTTTGTTCGGTTCCTGCCTCCAGGTTCCTGCCCTTATTTCCTTTGATGATGGACTGTGATGTGTAAGTGTAAAGGAAACGAACCTTTCCTTCTCCAAGTTGCTTTTAGTCATGGTGCTTTATCACAGCAATAGAAATCCTAAGTAAGAAGGCTGAAGTAGGAGAGGAGGGTCCTGGGTTCCAGGCTAGCTTGGACTGTATAGCAAGACTATTGTACAAAGATAGGGTTACCTCCACGCACTCCTTTAAATGGGTAGAAAAATGCCACCAGCAGGTTCATTAGGACGGCCAGGTTGAAGGAAATGCTGCTCCAGAAAGACATGTTTCGGGCACACCAGTACAAGACAGGCTGGGCTGTGGGAACAGATGAAGTCTGTGAGGTTGTTGGTGATGACATGCCAGAGTGCTAGTGTTCAGCATGGCCTTTCCTCCTATTAGACCCCCACAAGTACACTTTTGTTCCCAGTTTTGACCACAACAGTAAGAATGATAATTTGTTTCCAAGCTGGCACACAGCGATCTGACATTGGATCATTGGAGAATTCACTAACAGAAGATGCATTGGGGTTCGAGGAAGAAGAGAAGGGCAAAGGCTGGGCCAGCTGAAAGTCCCGCATACCCCAGTCAGTTCCACCAGTTATGGAATCTGAGGTTATCCAGAGTTCACACACTATGATTCTGGGTCTCCCCCAGACCTCCAGTATCAGATGAGATGCTCCGAGACCCAAGATTTCAATCAGTCTTTTAGAAATGTCAGGGAGACAGAACATTCAGAGTTGGCCTAGCTGAGCCTCTGACTGGGTCGGGTACCATTTTCTTGGCTGAAAACACTCCATTAATTCCCCAGTGCAGGACAGTTATCCCTTTCTCACCATTGAGTCACTTGCCATTTCCCTCAACTGACACAGTTGATCTCAAAACCAAGGAACTGGGGACAGCAGGTGGCTGACCACGGTCAGCAGTGGAGTTCGAATTCCAAAGGCTCCAGGAGAGAAAGGATATGTCACAAAGCTATTGCCAAAGGGCAGGGGATACTTTGCACATCACAATCTTCTCAAGCCATTGCTTTTGACTGATGACTCCATGCTACGGAAGTAACTGAAGTGGCCATGTAGGGGACAGCTCCCATAAGATAGTCTCATTACACATAAGTCTCCACCCCCACCCCCAGAGCAAAGTACAGGGTATGTGAGCCAGCATCTCTACCATGAACCACCTCCCTACCAATGAAATCTTCATTTAACTTTAGGACAGCAGCCAATGACAAATCCAATGACCCTATAATAATGCCTGCAACAGCGGCCAAGCCTTTGGAAACTTCCATCCAAAGAAAGTTATGGAACAATTAAAGAGGTCTCTGTATAATTTAGTAATTGTTGATATCATGTTGGAACTTGGTCACAGGCAATGTTTCAAAACTGTTGAGTTACAGAGCTATGAGCAATCATCTAGTTTGAAATTCTTCATTTTAAAAAAATAAGAGAAACCAATGCCCAGAAGTATTGCGGTCCCTCAATTAGTGATCATCTGGAATCAGTGGAAGGGGTAAAGACAGATAGCTAATGTCACCATCCAAAAGAGCTGACCGAATCCTGCCAACTTCCAGGTAGCAATTTAATATTATGTACATTAATTGCTGAACAAAAAAGAATATACTTTTTGAGAGGGGGTCTTGTGTAGTCTAAGTTAGCCTCAAGCCAGCTATGTAGCTTAGGATGACTTCAAGCTTCTTATCCTTCTGCCTCCTCTTCTCTGAGTGTGGGGTGATAGTTGTGCACCACCACGCCTAGTTTTATATGGTACTGGGGATCAAACACAGGGCTTTATGCATGGTAGGCAAGCACTAAATAACTGAGCCCCATCCCTAGCCTGCGGAAGCACCCTGGAGATGAGAACTCATCTGTTCTGGCTGCAATAGCTATTGGCACTTCTTTGGGGACTGATGTCTACTTCTGATATACATAACAAAAACAGGAAAAGAACTGGAGAGATTACTGGGAGAAAGCTGGTAACTGCTGAAGCTGAGTGACAGGTTCAGGGAAAACAGCAGCATCCTCATATATGCCACAAGAGCTCATTAAGAAGTCCAGGAAAAGCAGTAGAAGCTAGCGGAAATCTGTGATGGTCCATGGAAGCCAGAATTCCCTGCATGGGAACATGCCCTCTTCATACAACTCCAATAAATGGCCTTTAATTAGGGCATGTAGTTTATGAATATATCTAATTTCCCAAAGCTAACATTCTTTATACTCTCATTTTATATCTGAGTAAATAAATCATCAGTCCTGTAGTGCAAATAGTTATTTATCCACGTGCAAGGAGATAGTTAAACACCCACAATATCTTTATGCTTCCTGTGGTTCATGAGCTATGTCCCATCCTTCTCCAAGTCTTTCTCCCACTTCCCTTCCCCACATACTTTGCTTCTATATTCCAACCTAGCCGTGGCCTCCACAAACACACTGTGCCCTTCAGCACCCATGTACTTCCTCCCTCCCCCCCTCTGTTGTGATATACACACATGCCTCCTGTCTTTGCTACAACTCTTTCTTTGATGGAACACCCTAGGAGGGGCAGCTAATCACATTGTCCTGAGTATGACTGTTTCAGTGCTTTGCTTCTAATACATGGAAGACACTGTAGGTGCTAGCATGAGGTTTCTAAGAGCAGGTCATAAAAACTCTGTGTCTTTCTCCCCATTCCCACTCTTCAACCATTTACTCTAAGGAAAGCCACCATGGTATCATGAGGACATGTGAGACTCATGGAAAGGTCTTTCTGTACAGAAGAAAGAAATGCCCTGATTCCAGAGCTGCTACAGAGTACGGAGAAGCGTATTCATTAGGACTGGTACATGCTCAGATGACGACAGCCCTGGGTATCTCAGAGGCTACCTAATGAAAGACCCTAAGACATAACCATGTGCCTAAGCCACTCCCAAATTCCTGACCACAGGAAACTATAAAAAAAATGAGTATTTATTGTTTTAAGCCACCATGTTTTGGGAATGATTAAAACAATTAACATACCTCCTATAGTAAGCAAAATCATGCCCAGTCAAATGTCCCAAACTTGAGTCTCCATCTCATGAATGTGTTGTGTTACATGTAAAGAGACTTATAATGTCTTTTAAGTGAGAGGAGGAGGAGGCAGGAGTCTCGATCAGAGGGATACAGCCTGGAAAAGGCTCTCCTCCACATTGCTCGATTTGAAGATGGAGAAGGGCTCATAACCCAGAAATACAGGCAGCTGTTAGGAGCCTTAAGATGCTGGAGGTGGAGGCATGAACCCATCCTACCGATACCTTGAGTTTTAACTCTGTGAGAACCTCACCAGACCCCCGACTTCCAGCGTGGCAAGATAGTACCCTTAAGTTGTTGTAATCATTGGAGTTTGAGGCAGTTTGTTATAGCAGCAGTAGGCAGTGGACCATAGCTCCCCTCCTCCCTAATCTTGTAGGCTGTGCCTGCCTACCCTACAAAATGTCACCACCATCCCTCTTCTTCTTTCAAGTCTTCATTTCCTATACTTCTGTAACCTGTCATTGCTTGATTATAGCCCTGGTCACCATCAACTTTGTATTGTAGCCACTTAAAAATATGCTATGTTGGCTGCCTCCTTACAGATCGTTAGTTCCCACAGGAAGAAGTGTACACATTGCTAAATCCCCCACTGTACCTTGCAGCATGTTTTCTTTTACTAAGGACTGTAATTTAGCCGGCTTGATAGACTTGCCACACAACAGCAAAAAGGGAGAATGCCAGCACCCAAGACAGACAAAGCTATTGAAATAACTGCATCGGGGCATGTCTTGGTCACACTGGTTCCTGGTTGTTTGTTTTAAAGAAACCTGGCTTTTCTGGATGACTTACAGCTCCACACAAACAGCATTTCCCACCTCTAATGTGATAAGCATGAGGGAAAATTCCCAGCAAGAAATGGCCAGCATAAGCAACTAGCTGAGGCTCTTCTTGCTCTGTCTTCTGGTTACCACAGACTAGGGTCTTCTCTTCCGCAGACATGAACTTCGGATGTCAGAAAGGGATGGCCCGAGAAGACAGTACACACAGGACGACGTGTGTGTGTGTGTGTGTGTGTGTGTGTGTGTGTGTTTCAAGAATAAAGCAAGAAAGGCTTTCTGGAGAGCAAATCAAATTGGGTGTTTAATTCTTGCAGAAGATAAAACTAATTTCTTCTAAAAAGCCCCCAGATTTATTTACCTTTATTTTAAGCTGTATGAGAGTTTACCGTGCATGTGTGTATGTGTACCATATGCATGCTTGGTACTCCCAGAGGCAAAAGAGGCTGTCAGATCCCCTGGAATTGGAGTTGCAGATGGTTGTGAGTGGCTAGGCAGGTGCCATGAAGTGAGCTCGGTTCCTCTACAAGAGCAGCCAGTGCTCTTAACTGCTGAGCCATCTTCTCCAGCTCTATACTGATTTCTTAACACTAAAAAACACTAATATCAGCAGCCAAATAGACTGCCACACCAGTCACAACCTATGTTACTTCACCCAAAGGTAAATCAGCCTCACAAACATAACAGAAAAATCTCTCCAGCACACTTGGTAGAAGCAAGCTACTTAGTGGAGTGTGTTCCATTTTAATGCTGCTACTAATGAGTGCATCTCTCCCCTTCCTATATACTCGGAATGTTTAATTCACTTTTTATTTTCTATTTTTCTCTTAGTAGACACCTTTGAAGCCAAGTAAAAACAATTTCAGATGATAAGTAGAGTTGTCCTTAAACTTCCCTAAAACAAACTCTATTTCTCAAAAACAGAAGGGCTGATAGAAGAGAAGGCACTAGCTGCACTTCAAGAAAAATCTTGGAACAATGAGATGGCCTTTCTGGGGTAAATGAATCTTTACTGCCCAGTGGATAGTTCAGGGTCTAGAGGGTCTGGGAATAGTTAGTCCACCTGGTCTCCTCCCCCTCCTTGGGGGTGAGGACCGGCTACTACCCTGGATTGCACAACTCTTTGCCATGTGTGACTCCAGGGGTGGAGGGAAATGAAGAGGAAGGCACACAAGGCAAGTTTGGTAAGGAAAGCAGGCCTGGCTCTGCTCAGACTGGCAGGGACCAGAGATAGCACAAGAAGTCCCGGAAACTGATCTCTGACGCAGCTCTCCCCTGCCCCAGCCGCACCCTGCAGAGCCTTAAAGATCTCAACTGGAGCTTGACTTCAGAGTTTTGAATAATAATAATAATAAATCTGGCTCCCAACTCACATTCACAAATAAAGCCTGATCCTTTCAAAGTTGGTTACAACAGCTGATGCTGGTGCTGAGATCACATTAAAACCCTAATGAAAACTGGGAGCCTCGAAGCCCCGTGGGGGAGAGCTATAAATGTGCCTTAGACGAGTAATCGCCACTTGATTTGGCTGGGCTTTACCACGGGACCTGCTGATGAGCAATGTTGCATCTTACGTGGCAAACAACTCTGCTGCCTATAAAATGCCTGGGAGTTTTGAACCTGAGTTACTCCAATAGAGGGGAAACAGAAGAGTCTCAGAGGAACAAGTGTGCCAGTGCACTCTCAGCCCAAGGGAACCATCCTGGGAAGGAAAGGGCCTGGCTTTTTCTGTGTCCAGTTAGTTTCCACAGGGAGACACCCAAACAGACACTCTGAGTCATCCATGAAGCCCCCTGGGCCAATCAAATCAAATGCCACATGAACACAGCCCATTTAGAGCCCTTAGATCTGGCCCACATATTGAGATAGCAAAGCCCTCTGTCCTCAGAGGGGCGCAACACTACTAACTGCTCCTAAATGGCTCCTACCCAGGCCAAGTGTGACGCGCCAGAGCTGCACATTTCTGGGGCATGTCCAAATACTATCCCTCACCTCGAAGTTTCTTCTGCCAGTTCATTTCATTGAAGAGGTCCTCAGAGCGCAGGAAGAAGTCATTAATCTTGCTGCCTTGCTCATCCCTCTCTGTGGTATAATATATTCGAAGTTTTGACTCTTTGGTCAGGAATTCACAGATGCTGGGCACGGGGAAGACAATCTGTTCCATTGTCCGGTCCAGTCTGACAATCTAGAGTTAAAATAAATGGAGGGTAAGAGGTTATTCCCAGAGCTTTCTGTGAAGAGTCTTTTGCTTTGCTATTGGCAGTGAATGCAGGGTTCAAGGCTCAAGACAATGGGAATCTGATTTGAAAGCCCCTGGTTGGGATGTATCTCTGTGTTTCCGTGTGCACAACCGTGTGTCTGTGTATGCATGTGTGTGTCTATGTCCATGCTATGTGTCTGTGTGTGCACATACCAGACACAAAAGTTTTGTTAAGCCAATAAAAGTTTGTCTGACCTCATACTCCATTCATCTAAATATTATCAATGTCCTCCCTATAATATTTTAATACTTTTTCACTTTAAAATACTGGTTTTAGTTTATGCCGGAGAGGATATGGAGAAAGGGGAACACTTCTCCACTGCTGGTGGGAGTGACAACTTGTACAGCCACTTTGGAAATCAGTATGGTGACTCCTCAAGAAAATGGGAATGAGGCTACCACAAGATCCAGCAATTCCACTCTTAGGCATATACCCAAAAGAAGCACATTCATATCACAAGGACATCTGTTCAACGATGTTCATCACAGCGTTATTTGTAATAGCCAGAACGGGGAAGCAACCTAGATGCCCCTCAACTGAAGAATGGATAGAGAAAAGGTGGTACATTTACAAAAGGGAGTACTACTCAGTGGAAAAAAAAAAACAATGGAATCTTGAAATTTGCAGAAAAATGGATGGAACTAGAAGAAACCATTCTGAGCGAGGTAACCCAATCACAAAAAGACAAACATGATATGTACTCACTCATATGTAGATTTTAGACATAGAGTAAAGGATTACCAGCCTACAATCCACACTGCCAGAGATGCTAGTAAACAAGGAGGACCCTAAGAGAGACATACATGGTCCCCTGGAGAAGGGGAAAGGGTCAAGATCCCCTGAGCAAATTGAGAGCATGGGAAGAGGGGGGAGGGAGCTATGAGAATGAGAAGGGAAGAAGATGAAGGATGCAGAGGTCATGAGGGAGCAGAAAGATTGAGTCAGGGGAAGAACAGAAGAAAGGGTATGTGATAGGTAGGTAGGGTTTTAGTTGGGGGTTGTTAGGGGAGGATGGGAGGGAGAAGGGAACTGTCATGTAAAACAATCTTGTTTCTAATTCAAATAAAAAATGATTAAAAAAATACTGGTTTTAATTTTGTGACTGTAACACGGAATATTTGCCTTTTTTTTAAATCCCTAGAATCATAAAACTATACTCTAACACATTCCCAAGGTACTTTAAAATGATTCTGTTTTGACACTGTAGATGAACAATGTACAACCTTGACTAGACACTGTTGAAGTGTTTGGACAACAAACAATCGATAAGCTTAAAGACAACCAGCACAATTTCACAAGTGAACTAGTTCAGCCTGGCTAAAACTCCCAGTAGCAACTGACATCGATATTGTGTAGTGTAAAAATTAGTTGATGAAAATGAACAGATGGGAAACCCATTCTTCGTTTTACTTTAAGTATGATCAGTGTTCATCTGGAACAATTTATACTGTTTTGTTATGCTGTTTGGCTGAGGCTAGTACTGCACAATGGAACTTTTTACAGTGAATGGGTCATTCTTTGTGTGTCCAAGAGGACAGCCACCAGTCACGGAGGCCACTGAGCACTAGGCACAGGCAGTTACTGAAAATGAGCCACAGAGTAATTATTTGCAACTAATTTTGATTTGATAGGCATGGCTTGATGGCTATCGTATCAGATAGAGCAATGTTGGGTCATAGTATAAGCCTCAATCCACCATCTTTTCTCAGGTAGCAAAACCGGGGTTATCCCTACATAGGGACTTTTAGAACAGACCTTTGCTTTTATATCACATTTGCAATGAGCTCCTACGTCTTGTCATAATGTCCAGAAAGAATGTGTGATACATGAACCAATATGCCCACTGCCTCTGGGAGGGTATTGGGTTTGTGGGGCTCCATGGGTGGATGCCTGTGGGTTTCTTCTGTTCCTAGCTAGGCTTTGTCTCCAGAGTAGTCTGTTTCCAATTCTAGGACACTCTACTTAGTCACAGTTTCAAGGATAGAGAGTTCTAAAGGGCCTTGACAGTAGCACACCAGAGACATGACCTCTTAGCCTTTCTTTATTCTTCCCTAGAGGCTGAGGAGGTCAGGTGAAGCGCAGGGCTGACACCCTTGACAGGAAGAGCTTGCTCCCTCTCTCAATACCTTTGTTCCCTGATGGGGCAAGAGAGGTGACTCAGGCCCAGTTGTGGTGGGAAACTTCTGGAAGTCAGGCAGGTTCTCACAGCTCCGACTCTGTAAGAACAGAGGAATATGGTCTCTACGCCAGCGCCTGCTGGATCTAGCTGGAGCTCGTTTGGGGGGCTCTGGAATCATTGTTGGTTTTGCTTCAAGCTAACCTGGTTAAAGTGGAAGTGTAGTGTGTAGTTAGCACCTGGAACCTGCCAGGGACACAGGCTCGGGGACCTGTTCTGAATATTTGCTATCAAGTGGCCATCTCAGGTTTCACATAGAGAACATCCAGGACCATTCCTTCCTTCACCTAAGCACAAAAGAGATGTTTAGCAAGCAGGCTTCAGGAGGCAAAGGGAGGGAAGATCTCTGGCAAGAATTCCATTCTATAGCTGAAGCATGAAGACTCTTGAGTCTGCTAGCAAAGCCCCAGGCAGCTATGACACAGTACCCTGGATCTGCATACAGAACCCTGGGGGGAACCAAAGGGAGGGTCCTGGTCAGCCAAGGGCATGATTTGGAGGCTAGCAACAGTGTTTAAATTTCCATTGTTTAGCAGTGGGAGTCAGGAGACAGACTAGTATTACTTCTCTACCTGTAGTAGTAAGAGACTTTGTCAGACTCCAGTTCCCTCCCAACCGTACTGCCAAGCTTGTTTCCTAAGGGATCCAGAGGACAGAGCTGGTCAAGCTTCTGGCCATGATCAATAAATCAGGACTACATGTTCACATACATTTGGCATGGCCATTGAGTTGGTCAAATGAAGCATTTTATTGGGATGACCTGAGACAGCAGGTAAGAATAGATTCCTGAAAAGCCTTCATTCTGAATGTGTTATTCTGTCCAACGACTCTTAGCTCTTCCAAATCTCTCTTCCGATATTGATATTAGATTCTCAGTAAAACAAGGTACAGCATCCCGACTACCTAGATCCTGGAGCCAGACATGTTTCCTTTCAGATGCTAAGAGACGATGCAGATGATATGAAGTGCACCACATTACTCAGGGGCCGGACAGCCTGAGACTAAAACTCCAGCTGTGACAGTGAGAGCTAGAAAAGGTTTGGTTCATCCTCACTGAGCCTTACTGAAGAGCTTATTTGCCACAGATGTGATGCCACACACTTCAGAAGGACGGTGAGAGTGTTTTGTCCCATGTAAAATGCATAGAGGATGGTGAGGCTCCATGGGCAAAATGCTAGCAGTTCCAATGCTCTGAGGGTAAAGAGTAGACTTCTTCCCAGGAGAGTGTGTAAGCTTTGGATTCCCTGTGTTGCCTCCTTTCCTTATCTTGCGCCATTTCCCCCTTGACTCACTAGCCATACACACCTTCTCCAGCGGCACCCCTTACCTGTGGTTTTCCTTGTGGAGATCAGAAAAGCTCCTCCCTCTGAGTACTGCCCATTTCAATCCTGTGTTCTTTCACCCTGTATTTGATGCCATTTCTTCAGTTAAGACCTCCTGGGTCACTATAATCTACAGCAGGTCCCTCTGATAGACTTTGGGTATGTATATGCTCGTATGTGCTAGTGTGTGTGTATATATAAATATATATGCCAGAGTCAACTTGGGTATCATTTATCAGGCACTTTTCCCCCGTCCATTCCCCCTTTCGTTTTGGAGGCAGGGTCTCTCATTGACTAATGGTCCCTCAAGGAGGCCAAGAAAGCCCAGGCATCTGCCTAACTCTGCCTTCCCAGCACTGGGATTATAGTGCATGACACTACATCTGGATTTTTTTTATGTGGTTTCTCAGAGGTGAAGTGGGTCCTTGTGCTTGCATGATAAATGCTTTATCAACTGAGCTATCTCCTCAACCCTGCATACTTGTTTTACGTGCTAGCTAGAATCTGTAATTAAATCTATATGGACCCGATTAGTGTGTCTCCCCCTTAAGCAGTAATCATGATACGTTTGGCCATCACTGGAAATCCAGTACCTAATAGGGGAACCTCGTAAACAGGAAGCACTCCACCATGTTTATTGCTCAGAACAGTGAGAACATGCCAACCCTGATACAGGGTGCTTCCACCGAAGGTCCAGGCCCCGCCCCCACCCCCAGTTCATGGCTTGACTTGTTGGTTTACCTCTATTTGTGCTGTGTGCTTTGCATAGAACTCCAAAGCTTCATCACCATCCACTTGGCCTCCAGGTTTCAGCATGGTTTGAAGTTCCTTGTTATGCCGAGCCAACTAGAACACAAGCAAAGAGAAAATGGGTATCAAGGATTCTAAGAGCTTTTAAACTCTAGGTTTATTTCTTTGACACAGGGTCTTGTGTATCTCAGGCTGGCCTTGAACTTGCTATGAAGCTGAGGATGACCTTAAACTTTTGATTTTACAGGTGACCACCACCACGACCAGCATTGCGCATGCTAGGCAAGTACTCAGACTTTAAAATGCACAATGACCGGCAGTAAGCCAAAGGCCAAGGTACCAACAGGCTTGCTCCTTTCTGCTCAGCTCCACGTTGCACAGAGGCTATTTTGGGAGTGTGACATGAAAGAATGGATGGCTCATGCCCATACAGAATCCCCCATTTTCTATGATTTCTTAAGCCAGGCAGGAGGGACATGAGATTTTCTGTGCGCCCCATTGAGCCTCCACTCTGGGACTATTCAGAAACCCTTTTGGATGCTAGATGCTAAGTATGGAGGTGACATGGGACAGGGAAGTGTTTGAAACCCTTTGGTAGATATGCAGGGGCAGGGACCTGGCAGCTTCAAGCCTCCCTCTTGCCTTCACTGTGCAACACCCAGGTGCTGTACCCAAGTTTAAAAGGGGCTAAGGACAATACATGTCAGTCTCCAGCTGGGCTATAGCTTGCCTATCCCCACCCAAAAGCTGAAGGCACACCAGCATACCCAAAGCAGCAGCAACTTCAAAAACCAAGCCACTTGGGAAGAGATTATGAAATACGGCATTTTGGCATCAGGGCAGAAAGTATCACCCAGAAAGGCAAACAAAAGGAAATTGTAAGGACAGGTTCCCACAGATCCCCAAATGTGATAGGCAAGGAGGCTCAAGAGGGATTCATTAGTATTTATAAAATGCCTAAGACTCCCTTTCAGCAGCTCCAGACAAAGCACCCAGTGTCACTGCTCAAGGGTAGATGTGTATACAGAGTACGGGGATTTCCAAGTCCCTGGCCTACCACACTGAGAAAATGGCAGAGTCCTGGACTTCAGCCCCTCGAGGCAGGTGGCCAAACACACCTGCAAGCCATGGGTACAACCAGTGCTGGGAGAAAGCTTTCCAGGAAGGGCCAGTGTCTGGGCATCTTAGGATGCTGGTGGTGTCTAGGAGGGCAAGAGAGGGAGGGCTGTACCTGGTGAGCGAGGATGTAGATGTTGTGGCCCACGTTCCTGGGGGAGGCAGCTCCATCCTCACCATTTTCCCCATCCTCAAATTCTACTTCACCTTGCATGTAGGCTTTCTTGATCACCTCCACCTTTGAAAAGGGACAAGAGGTGATCTGACTCAGGGGGTGACCCATGCAGGACTGGCATCTACAGCACTTAGCCAGCTGTCCCTACTAGTGGAGCAGACACTGCTCACCAAGGACTATATCTCATCCCGCCAGGCTTGGATACGGCTCCAGACTCCTGAGTTATAATACCAGTCGACCTTCACGGATAGGAGAAGTTCATTCTCTCCACTTGGACCGACCAACATTCAGTGGCTGGTTTATATCTTTCTGCTTTAGAAGTTGATGGTGGTTATAAAAACACCTTGACAGGCAGCAGGGGGAGGGTTGGTGAGAAGATGGTTCATGGGATAAAAGGGCTTTGCCATGCAAGTCTGAAAACTCGAGTCTGGATTCTGGTACCCACAGTGGAAAAAAGAGAGCCTGCTTTTGAATTCTACATGTGCAACTTTTGGGAACATAGTACAATTCCTTTCTGAGTCTAGTGCCCCAGGCCCTACCCCATGCATGGGGCAGCATCACTTGCTGAAAACCTGTGCTCTGTGTCACGCTGTGCTCAGTGCGCTCACGTCTGTTAAAGTGTAATGCTCACAAACGTTTTATGAGGTCTCAGAAACTTCTACTCCTTTATAGATGCGGAAATAGAGAGATAAAAGAACATTGCTAAGGTCATGGTTAATGAGCTAGGATTTGAACTTGGTCACTACCCTCCACAGCTGCCTGCCTGACTCTAGGACTCCTCATAACCTAGTGGTACACTTCTTAGAGCATTTTACTACCTGTTGACTGTTCTCACTCACTTTGGTTCCCAGGCTGCAGGGGCTGGGGCTGCTTACATATCTGAATCTATCCCCTGGCTCTCAGCACCCTGCCAAGCTTCCCTAAATAAACATATCATTCAGAATTTAATAACTCAAACACCAAGAATAAATATGCTCAGTTATACTAAGAATTAATCATTTCTTTTGATGGTTTAGAAGGTATTGCAGCCTGGGGGCACCTGCTTCATTGCCACTAGCCATTATTTGAGACTTTCTCATGATCCATGATGAAGCCTGGATAGAGCCCCCCATTCTGTACTGACAGTGGCTCAGATGCTAGATGTAACTTTGGAGATGAGACCCTCACTCTCTGAGCTAGTTTTCCCAGCATTTCTGAAACCAAACCTAGCATGTTATATATGCAAAGTGCATGGGTAGGTGCATGCACACATATGCATGCATACATGTACACACACGGATGTGTTCTGGATATCCAAGCTGTCTTCTTGTTTGTCTTCTTAGAACCCCGTTTACTCCAAAAAGACTTGAACCTTCCTATGATGCAGAATAATATTCTCGAACTACAAGAGGGAATCCAGGAGTTGGTGGCAGCCATAGTGAGGGGTTGTCCTCTACCCAAGACAGTCTTGAAGAGCCAGGACACATTCCTGATTCATAAGAGCCAAAATGGGTTCTATACAAGACCATTCTGACTATACTAGATATTGTGACCCTTAGATACCCAGTTACCCCAGTTACATAAGCTGTTATGTAAACTTGCAGAGACTCCTGTCTCTGCTGAGAACTCATTCCCTGACCTCTGGGATCAAAGAGCCAGGCTGCTGTGAACTTTTATTTAAAGGAATACATAAAGGGACTTTGGTCTGGTCTCTAGTGCACATTCAGGTCACTGGGAGGCAGGAATATTTTAATGCCCTCATTTAAATCTGTCACTTACAGTTTATTTGCATGGGGGAAATGTCCAAATAGACTCAATTCATATCACCCATCCTTGAACAGTGCTCCTTTCAGAGTTCCCACCACCAACTCCCAACATGGAATTCACAGCCCATCATGAATGTTGCTCTTTGAAAATAAACCAGGTCATGTTTTAAGAAAACAAAAACCAAACATCAACATTCAAAATAGACTCTCCTGTTGTTCAGACTACTGGCACCAAGAACAGATGTTAACTTGTAAGTCCTAAAAAGATGTGGCGGGGGGCTATGTGTAATCCCAAAGTATGAAGTAAAGTGATCATGAGATTAAGGCCAGCTGGGGTATAGAAAGTCATCATTTCAGACAACCAAGGCTGTCAGGGAACGGTGGTGTACACCCATAACCCCAGTACTTGGGAGGTGGAGGTGGAGGACCCAGAGTTCAAGGACAGCCTGAACTGCATGGGACTGTGTCTCAACCTCCTACTCCCCTGTGACCCCATACAACAACCAAACCCAAGAGATGGGAATGAAGCTTAGTGGTAGAACACTCACCTAATAATGAACAAAGAGAAGGAAATGGACCTCAGGTCATAAAGGACTACATGGCAGGTACTGTGCTAAAGGTTTGATGTGACTCTTGTGTTCTAGACTTTAAAACAGCCCTTCAATGTAAGCAATGTTACTTTCTCTTTTACAGATCAGGACAGTGCAGCTCAGAGAGCCCAAAGAGCTACCTAAGGTGACATAGTCACAGCACTGAGCTATGGACCTGAACCCAGACTCACCCACTGCACAGTTCTCCATGAGCGAGCAAATGGGAGGGAAGCTACTATATGTCACCTGTGCTGGCATAACAAGGTGAAATACCCCATGTCCACTGGCATACTTCCCTACCCAGTCACAGGCCTGGGTTAAGTGACCCTTGGCACTTTTGATTTGGGGAATGTTTTTAGAAGCTCAAAGAAGCAGGTCCTTTAGTCTGTCTCAAGCTTTGCTCTGAGGTTTTTTTGGTGCCAGTCACAACTCACCAGCTCCTTGGGCCTCATGTTGTACAGAATCCTCTCTGCATTTTCACTATCGTGCCTGCTTTCCATGATGGCCAGGAGTAGCTTCGAAGCATTGTTCTAAATGGAGAGAACCAGGGAAAGAAATATGGAGGAGCTGCCTGGGCAACCACCTAGACATGTGTGCCCAGCTGCTGACATGGGTGTGCACCCTGGCTAGACAGACAGATCCACCCCATGGCAAGTACATTCCAGAGTATCTCCACCAGGCACAGGGAGTGCTTCTCAGGACCTCAGAAGCATGTGTGTAGAGTCTGGCTTGGGTCTAAGAAGCCTGTATTTCTTGGACATGTATTATAATTTTGGAATCTTTGACATCCCCTGGAGCCCCAGAACAGGGGTGAGAGATTGAGCAGAAGCACACTTAATAAGACACTGCCCCTGGACTGGTCTGTCAGCTAGTAAACCCCACAAGAGTTCTAGCAGAAATAGACAATTTATATATAAGTGCTTGTGGGTGTGGTCTTCTCTCTATATCTACAGGGGATCCCATGGTTTCCAGATTCTCAGATGCTCAAGCCTCAAATAAAATGGAATAGCATTTGCATATAATCTCTCTATATTTTTTGTCTACTTCATTTATATATTATTCGTAAGAACTGATATGGTATAAGTGTTGGGCCAACAATCAGAGTATACCATTTGGGGAGTAAGAATAAGGTAAAAGGTATATACATGTTCAGTACAGATACAATCTTTCTTTTTCTTAAATATTTTGTTATTGTGGGCCAGAGATGACAGGCGATAAATATAATTTCTCCCTATCTTAAAATCCACCAGCTTTCATATCTCCTAGTATCACTGAATACATATGCTATTAGTTAGTAAAACTGGCCCAGAGGAATACTTCACATCCACCAAGACATAACTTCCCATTACATTAACAATGTGCATGTGTCCACACCTGGCATTTCTTGGCTTAATCTCATTTGAGGCCCCAGGTCTGCAATTTACACACTTCTTTGTATCTGGATCTCAGACATTTGTACTTTCTTTCCTCCTGGGGATCAGGAATAGAGACATTTTTCCTCTCCAGCTTCGGTCACAGAAGTTCAGCCCAGTGGCTGAGCTCTCACCTGTTTCTACCCCAATCCTCAGACTACCGAATTCATTGCAAAAGACACTGAAATGTCAACCAGAAACACATGGATGTCTCAGTCTATTTCAGACGCTCGTCGTGTACTTTCTGATAAATGATAGCCATACGAGTGCTTGAATGATATTCAAGTCAAGTATAAAGTATTTATCAGAAGGAGAAAAACAGCGCTAAAAAATTCCATCTAAACCATATGCTCAAATCAACCAGGAGTTTGGACTCCCAGCTCTAAATACTAAAGGAAAAATAAAATTAACCATGCAGTTTCTGGGAGAGTCTGTGTTACTGTCTTCCTGAGGCCTTGCTTCCCTTCCTTTATGCAGCACACACAGGTGAGCCTTTCAGCTGGACTCTGGAGTTCAAGGCTTCTCACAGTCATGACAGGGTACTTACTCCCGCCTATGGGCGTAAGAGAGAGCATGGATCTCAACATGCCCTAAATGTGGGAACAGCAGAAGACAAAATGTGCTCAGAGAGGCTAACCCATTTCCAAACAGCGTCATATCAGGCTGGGCTGCAAGTTCAGTTCTCAAAACTGAATATTTTAAGTCTTTGAGCACTTCTAAAAACCACCAAACAGGGACGAGAGTTAGGGCACGGCTCATAGACCCACAGGAATAGTCTGTCCATTAGTAAACCCCACAGAGTAAAGCACCTTGAAGTCACCATTTAACTCTATAAAACTATTTTTACGGGGTATTAAATGCTGGGGCTGCTGCAGGGTTGGCAGCTACAGTCTCCCACTCGTAACAATCCACAGAACATATAAGGAGAGTGTATAGGCACATTCTTATTTTAAGCCATCCTTCTGCCAAGTCAATGACAGAACAGAAAAAGGTGCCTCCTGACTAAGTAAAAATTGATTACTGGTGACACTCGAAGGGGTAAGCTGTACCATTCTTCAACTGCCCCTCCCGCTTAAAGCAGCAAGATCAGAAATGATAGAGGAACAGGGTTTCTCTTCTCCCTCTCAGCCCTCACTGGATTTCAGATTTCAGACTTTTCGTTCTTTGGGTGCTTTTTGAATTTCTCAGTTCTGGTGACAGCTCTTCATTCTAGGTGACCTAAGTGAAAAGCTGGTACCCTCTCCCTTCTTTGGAAAGAGTGAAGTTCTGCTTTTTTAGGTCAGACTGTGCAATGTGGGTCATTTGTTCAGTTAAACAGAACTGTCTTTGGTATTTGGTTTCGCAACACCATGTCACATGCCAGGCAAAGCATAAATTGACTTTTTCCCAAAGGTTGTCGCCTCTAGCTGTCAGTCTCCACTTGCCTTCAATTCTAACACGAGGTCCATTCTCTTCTTTCCCAGCGGGTTGATGTCATTGAGGATGAGGGCTGTGATAATATCGATGCCATTGGACTCGTGGGTGGCGATGCAGTTCTGGGTAAACAGACATACACAACAACAGGCACTTACACAAATGCTGGCCATAAATCAGACGTCAAAGGGCAACAGGCTAAACGGCTATTTCAACACAATGCTTACCACTCCCATAATGCCACTTGGGGAGAGTGCAATTTTCCGTGAGAAAGTGGTAAAAATAAAAGACAGATGAAGATCTCTAGTTTCAGAATTAACAGTAAACAGTAGGAAAGTCCCCATACACCCTAACTGATAAATTGGCTGAGTCTAATCCAAATAGTGCCGTGCAATCGGCTTTGTTCTTAGAGGAAAATATGGTGTGTGACTGATACCAGGATCTGAGCCCCTTTCCCCTTTAAAATTGTGTTCCGTTCTCTCTCTGTCACTCATCTTGTGAGTTTGGTTCTTCTACTTAAGGCTTACGTTTGGAAAGCAAGCTTCTGGCTCAGTTTGCACGGTATCAAAATGGATCAGCTTCCCCTGAGCAAGATCCTTGACTACAGAACACACCTCTAGTCTGTTCCTTTCAATTGGCCTTGGTGTAGCAGGAAAGTTAACTTATATCCACAGCTCCAGAACCCTTGCATTTCTTTGTTCTTTCTCATAACTAGAACTATCCCATCTCCTTCATCGGGGAAGGAAGCGGATCTACCAAAATGTTCTCACACTGGGACTAGGGTTTTCACAGCCAATGAGCTGTCTGCTTTAAACTCCTTCCCTTGAAGTGAATGTCCCGCCTTCCTCAACTAACTCAGAGCCTCACAATTTCCCTGGCCTTGGGGCTTAGAACTAACCATTTCAAGCCAGGAAGGAACTACCATCTGGAGTTAAAAATCACAATTGTTCTGGTCCTGAAGTGCAAACTCATAGAATCTTCCAGATGCCATGAATGAGCAATGAGTCTACTTAAGAAAAAAGAAAAACATTGGGCTCCACTCCAAAATTACACTTCTTGGGAGGTCAGTCAAGACTAGCTTGTCTTTCCTTTCCCAGAAGTCCACGGTGTTAAATCTCAACTACAAACATTCTCTTCTTCCAGATTGTTTCACAGAAAGCAAGTGTTTCTCTCTAGCTAGGTTTCGAGGAGTTCCAAGGAGTCACCTTTTGATCTTTTCTAGTATGTAGAACAGGTCACTCTTCTCAGGTGCTAATTAATTCCCACTTTATTACTTACCCCTAAATATCCAAGTTATGATTGGATATTTAAACCAAACCAAACTAGACTGAGCCAAGCCAAGACATGGTCAAGCCCACTCATTCACTGAGTAAAGTTCTGGTTTATGAGAAAGCACATGGAAACTTCTCCACTGCTGGAGAAGGGCCTCTTGTCTTATAAGCACCCGAAGATTGACGGGTAGTTGTAATGTGTCTTCTGAATCCTTCTCTGTGAACTCTTCTAGATAATAAATATGTCTTGCTCTCATCCAAGACTGTGAACAGAATTACCTGGTTCTCGTGGCAAGGCCCTTGACAGTATTCAGTCAGACTCTCCAGGGTTTGGTTGATAAGTGCTACGTTCTTCTCATTTATGTACAGTCCGAGGAGCCCAAGGCCTCCAGTTGTGCTCCCACAGATACAGTCCAGAAACTGCAGTGTCTCACACACCAAATTGTAGTTGGTCTTATTATTTTGGCAACGAAGGAAATTCTGCAATGGGGCATGAGGGAACAAAGACAAAGAGAAGAGGGGAGAGGTCATCCATACTGCTACTTTGATTGTCTCTAATAGGCAATCCTGAACTGATCAGCTGCTATGAAGACAGGTACAACATGGGACAGAAGAGACTTCATGGCCCAGGGACAGTCAACCTGTGGCCTTGGTCTATGGCTACAACCCTGTGACTTTTTCTCCAATGTGTCCATATGAGATTCAGGGAAGGAGAAATTCTCTTGGAGATCCATTTCAGGTTCTTTTGGTATGAATTCTCATATTTCCACTTACTCTTCTAACAAAATTAATCTGGGTATATATGAACATGTGGTGGGTGTGTTCATGTGTGTGCATGCATGCATGCTTGTGGCTGTACATGAACATGTATACATTTGTGCATGGCAGCCAGTGGTCAATGTTGGGTTATCTTCCTTGACTGCTCTCCACTTTACTGAGGCAGAATCCTTTACTGAACCTGGAGTTCACCTATTTACCCAGGCTGGCTGCCCAGTGAGCACGGGGGACTCTTGTGTGCTGGGATTACTGGCATGCATTGCTATGTCTAGCTTTTTACAGGAGTGCCAGAGATCTGAACTCTGGTCTTCATAGTTGCATGACAAGCATTTTACCAACTGAACCATCTCCCCACCCCTCTGTTTATTTCTTCCTTTACCCTTGCCTACCCCCTTCTCACTGGGTGGTTAGAGGGTTGTGGTTATATTTAAAGATGACAGAGTGGACTGCGTGCTGAACACACAAAACTAGTACTAAGTACGGTTCACCACAAAATGAGATGTTAGAGGTGGGTGTCATGGCTTGGAACTTAGCACAGAGGCAGACAGCTTGCTTAGCATGCATGAGGCCCCTGGGTCCATCACTGGCTTGGCTATAGCGAGGTGCCAGGAAGAAAACCAGGATTAGCTTGTTTGACCATTTCCATTACTAAATAAGGGGTGAGAGTGAGTAAATCTGTGCACACACATGTGTGTGTTCATACATATGTGTCTATCTATGTGCTCTCCAAAAGACACACAGCAAGATCCTTCCTCAACAAGACATGGAAAGTAACACCCAAGTAACCCAGTAAAGCCAGGGATTTTGATGAAGGGGCACAAATCTGAGACTGCTTCTGTAATGAGGCACAAATCAACTACAATATTCTTTATAGCTCAGAGTTAGAAAGTAGGCAATGTTTACACTAGAAATTAGAAAGGAAAAAGATAGAAAGGCAAAGTGGGCATAAGTTTTGATGTGGCAAATCCACTTCTATCCACAAAATATATACTGGCCATTCGTGATAACACTGTTTACAACAGTGGAGAAATGGAAGCAACCTAAATGCCTACCAACTGGGGAGCAGCTAAAAAAATATAGTATACCTGTAAGATTCTGTAGTATGAATTAGAAACATTGAGTAGGTCCTGGCATGCCAACATGGAAAGATCTCTAGGTTATACTGTAGGTTACAAAAAAGCAGATTTATAATCATGCTGATTGCTGTGTAATATATATTCAAATTTGCACCAAACATTCCTAAACAGAGTAAGGAGGGGGGGAACAGTTCTCTGTGGATAGAATAGATACAACTCTTATTTAGATACCTAATGTCATTAGGAGACTCATGAAGAGGATTTATTCATGAATGACTTGAGCAACAGAAGCACCATGAAGGCACAGGTTAAAAGTAGGTAAGTAGACAAATGGCTAACTCAGCAGCACCCCAGCCCTCCAATTTAATCTCAGTCCTTTTCACTCAATAACACAGGTCCAGTTCTGGTGGGATACAGAGGAAGGACTGATTACTTAGGGAGTCCTACCCTGTGGGACTAAGTGTAAGTGACTCTTTTTTAGAGGGCTCCAGGAAGGCAATGGAGAGTTTCAGCCAGTTTCTCCCTTCCTGTGATGACTAAAGGAAGGTGCTTTCTCTTTAAAGGGCTGGCAGGGTAGAGGGTCCTCAGCCCAGGCATCAAAAGGATAGGGATGCTTAAGATGCAAACTCATAGCATCCCTCTGAGGCCCATTATGGTGACATCACTGCTCCTAGTATGATCCTCTCTGCTGCATGATGTCACTGCTCCAGCCACAGTATTCTCTAGTAGCAGCAATTAACTCCTTATTCTCTGAGTACACCACTTTCTTGCCTCTGGGGCTCCCATACCATATCCCCTCTGTCTGACCCACTCTCCTGGCCTCTCTCCTGACTCTCCTTCCTTCAAGATGCGGTATAAAGTCACTTTGTCCGGGAAGTCCTGCCTGCCTCTGAAGCACCCCCATCTTATGAGATGGGAGCCGAGAAGGATGCCTTTCTGCTTTCTATGCACCAGGTGGGCCATGCAGGATCTACACTTAAGGTCCCTCGACAACACTGAGAGCCATAACCACAGCTCAGAGTTGCACGCAGCTTATACAGGGTTGGTGACTAATAGGAGCTTTGTTAAAACTGGTTGCAATAATCTGAATTCAAGTGAATTTACAGAAAAAAAAAAAAGAGGACAAAGAAGGATCCCAGTTTATGGGGTCCCCATTGAAGGCCATCATCTTTCATGGTTTTTGCAATGTTAACCTGGGCTCTCCTTGTCCTAACTCAGATCTATTTCCTTCTGTCTTTTACAAAACAAACAGACATGCTTTTCACTGAGAAGCCCAGTGAAGCTTTGACAATCCACTTTTAGCACACACCACTTTGTCCTGTCAGCATGAAGAAACCCTGGTCTTTTCAGGAGGGCAAGGGGTGGGTGAAGATGGGTGAGGAAGAGAAAGGTTTCCAGGTCTATGCTCGTGTAGCCTTTGGCCTTTAACCTGGGGAAGGGGAAGCTCAGGCCTTGGCTCAGCAAATACTGAAAACCACACGAACTGGTGAAAGGGCAGTCCTTCATCAGGTTTCTGACTAAGCAGGGCTTGTTCAAGGCAGCAATGGCCCATTTGGCAGGGCCAAAGTCAGTAGCTTTCTCTCCACTGAAAATCTACCAACAGGAAAGTCAAGGTTATAAATATGACAAGAAACTGGCATGAGCCCAGGAACCGCTGCCTTAGAAGGCCGGGGCTTCCTCTCTCTGAGAAGATCTGTATTTCCTTGCAACCGGGAGCCGACCACTCCTGCCTGGCAGCTGTAAGAAAAATTGCCAGAACCCTACCATCTACCCAGGGACTCTGCCAACGGGTGGCATCCTGAGTAGGTACATCCTACATAATGTCATTTTGAGAACTGGTTTCTCACAAATACAATGGCAGTGCAACAGGTTCCCCCGATTTGTGGGGAACCATGTTTCTTTCTTTTTACCATTTTTTAAACTGATTTTTACATGACTACGTTGAGATGACATGTACTTTGGTACACATTGTAGGAGTTTTCAAAAGATGATTCTCACCTACCCCACCCCCAATCAAAGCCGTGGTCCAAGAGCACCATAGGGCCCTGCAGACACCTGAGGTTCCCAGGAATGACCCCCATGCACTCTAGAGCTCCTACAAGATGAGGGCCAAGGAGGAAGGCTCTGGGACACTCTAGTTTCTACTTGCAACAGGGCCATTTTGCTCTCTTCTGCTCATCTTAGTCCATTTCCGAAGAAGATGTCTTCAAACAAAGGATTCTATGGTTAAGAGAAAAGGTCTCTGGAACCGCCTAATTGGAAAATCGTTAGGTACCTTCAAATGCTTAAGTTGCTAGGTCTTTTTAAAATATGTGAATACGTACTACACACATACACACACACACGAGAGTGTACACACATAGGAGAGAAAGAGAGAGAGAGAGAGAGTTTCCCTCCAGGGCAGTATAATGACTTCATTAAAAGCTACTTCTCTTCAGGGATCCTTAGGGCATAAGGTGGAAGGAGAGTTATATCAAAAGATAAAGTATAAGACTATAATTCTGAAGACTATCAGTAAGAAATGGTGAATTTGCAATTAAAACCTGTTTCTATTCTCTCACCCAAGGAACACAGGCATGGGGGAGAAGGAGGGAGAGAGGAAGAGGGAAACCAGAAGCCAGCTCAGCACCAACCTATCAGCACTGACTGCCTCTTGACATGTAGAGTGGGGAGGGAGGGTTCTACTCAAGGCATCCTCTGTTGGTGAGCTGGGAACTCTGCAAATATTAGCTGGGCAAACCCTTACAGCACTTAGCATGTTGTATTGCAATCTCTGGTTGGCACTGGTGGCTCCTGTTCCAGACAGTCTGGTCACCACTAGTACTGGGTGCTGAACAGGTGTTCTCCAGTATAAGTGACATACGACCACACGTGCACATGAACTGCTGCCACCTATTCCTCTGTGGAGCCTGAAGTTGGAGGTGACCAGTGACACCAAATGGAAGAACAGGACAGAGCACTCACTGATCCCTATGCTTAGCAGAACAGTGGGACACCCCCCCCCATCCCAACACCCCGCCACTGCCCCAAAGATGCTACAACTGAGCTGCCTGGGCCTAGATTCCTACCGATCACTCACTCTTCCCTTACTTGATCTCTCCCATGACTGATGAGGCACAGCTTGGAAAAGGAGAGGAACAACTGACATCATCATGAGACATAAGGGTAACAGTCAATGAGACAATATCCAGACCTCAGAGCTTTGGGGAAGGAACGCTTTGTTCTACTTGAGCCAAGCCTTAGCTAGCACATCTGGGCCTAAGGAGTCTAAGCCTGAAGCAGTAAAGCTTGAGCAATGGACAACCAAAGGGTCAGCCAGCATCCCACACCAGATGGTGACAAGGTCAACCCCAGAATGTCAACACCTGAAGTGGAACCACTGACTACCATGACTACCTTGTCATACAATGGGTCAGCATGGCCAATGGTAGATCTTATAGGGAGTTCTTTCAATTTAGGTCTGGTTCCCATTTAGCCAGTTGATTACCCGAAAACCTAGCTGCTTTTCAAAGTTCAGGGTCTTTAGACCAATTAGATAAAAATAAAAGCAATCAGAGGTGTTAATGTTAGAGACTTCTAGTTCATTTCATTGCTCTGTATTACTCTTCAACAATGTTCTTTCTTTATGATGGAGGTGGCTGGGGCAACAACAAATGGTCCAGCCACAGTCACTTGGTGGATAAAGTCAGCAATGTAAACATTTAAAGGTGGTACCTTCCTCTTGCTAGATTTGGCCTGTATCAGTTCCTTTCACATCATCACTATTTAAGCATGCAGAACTATCAATGCAGACTTGTTTGCCTTAAGAAGAGACAGCCCATCTAAGAGCTGTGCAGATGCCCTTTTCCTTTCCATCCTAACACTACTCAAACAAGGAGGGGTGGGTGCCCCACGTTCAATAGTTGACAGGAAAACCCAGCAGTACAGCAAGGACCACATGTTCCAGCATACTTCTCTGGGTAGAGATTGGGAACAAAGAGGCAGATCTCTGGAGCACACCCTCCGCCCTTTCTAAACAGTCTTTGTTATACGAAAACTGCAAGGGAGATAACACCTTGTGTCTGTCTTAGAGTCTGGCTAATATCACAGGTTCTAGCTCCCAACTGCCTAAGTTCAAGTCCAGCTTACTAAACTTCCAGAACACGTAGTACACACTGCTGTATATTATGATCTGCTAAACGCTATAACATCATTGTGCAGCACACAACTATATTCAGTTAGGTCTATGTACCCGATTTTATAAAAGCATATACTTTAATAAATATACTTAATAGTCTATTCATCTATCGAATTATTCCCTGAACACCCATTGGCAATGGTGGCAAAGAGTGGCAGGCTATAAGACGTACCCACACAGGTGCCTCCGCACACTAACTACACTCGGAGTCAACATCCCTAATGAACGAGGCCGTTGTGTCTGACCTTGTGGAGACACTGCTGAAGACAGGAAAGGACAGATCACCCATCTATGTTTTCAGTATTAGTCAATCAGAAAGTCAGTAATGCTGGATCTTCAGTTCAGGCCAGGTGGTCTAAGTGAAAGGAGCTGAACCATGAGAAGAAGTGGGACACCGTGGTCCAATCTACCCCACACTCCCAACTGTAGGTGGTGAGGTCTCCGGGGACCTTGCCTACAAATGTTGGGACCTCCTGTGCTACCAGTCAATCATTCACAAATCACAGGGTCCTCCAACTCCAGGCTCTGACTTGCAAGTGTCAGATTCCCCAACCCAGAACCATTCTCCTGTAGGTCTTTGGGTCCCCTACAAAGAACCTCTCTTGCAGGGCTCCAGGTCCCCACAGCCTGGCCCCTCTCTTGAAGGTCTCAGGGCTACCATACAGTCTCTCACCTGCAGATCTCGGTTGTGGTTTTCACACAGGAGCTGCAGGAAGCGCAGGATGGGCTGCATGATGGTGATGACTGCACTCATCTCTAGGTCGTCCTTGGTTTTGTCAGTTGTAGCCTGGGTGCCCTCCCCAGATTGGTAATGGTCATCAGGGTCGGCCTCCCTCCGGAAGGTGGTGAAGGCTTTCCTTGTGGCAGCAGATGCTTCCAGGAGCTGATCCCGGACCTCTTCTGTTATCTGTGTTGTGGGCTCTTTGGCTAAAAGGCAAACTTGTGACAGTCAACACAGCTACATCCTCAGAAATTTTATTTTCTATACTCTAGAGGACAGTCAGAATCGCAGGTTCCTACATTTTCTAGGGATCTGTAAGATTGGCAAAAACAATCCAGGAAGCCACCATCCCCTCTCAGTCTCTAGATAGGATGAATGTGGAGCCCAGCCCTGCTAACTTGATAGTGTTCTCCACATGTCATTTAGGTCTGTGTTGGGCTATGGGGCAAAAGTGTTAGTGCAGGCTCTGCCGACCACATAACCTAAGGCTCTGAGCCTCAGCTTCCTCCTCCATAAAATGTGAGTACATTGGTGTCTTCTAGGAGGTTCCCAAGAGACTTGATGTAATACTAATCACAACAGCAATAACTGTTACCGGATTGACAACGGATTGACCCCTTGCAAAATGCCAAGATACCACGAGTAAGCACTCTGTGTGTATTATCTTATCTGGTCTGAAGAATAACCCTGTGAGACAGCCGTGGCATCACAGATGGGAGCACAGACTGCATGGGCTCTGATGCTGGCTCACTGGTTTACAACTGTATCTGTGCCTCAGTTTCCTTATCTGCAAAATCGAGATAACCATTTTATATAAGTATGGGCTTAACTTGAGCCTTACATGAATTGACTGAGAGGTAAAGAACTTTGAACAATGCGTGACAACAGCCTGGATCTAGGAATGGCTTCCAAAGGCCCATGTGTTAATGACTTAGGTGACAGAACCTTTAAGAGGGGTGTGTGTGTGTGTGTGTGTGTGTGTGTGTGTGTGTGTGTGTGTGTTTGTTTGTGTGTGTGTGTGTGTGTGTGTGTGTGATAGTTTAGAAGAATGGTGTGTCTCTGAAGGGGACTATGTAACTTTCTTGTCTTTTTTAGTTTCTCCTGAGTATCTGCCATGAGGTGAATAGTTTTACCCTTTGCTATATGCTCCCGAGGCTATGTATTTCCCCAAGGCAGGTCCCATAGTAACCAGATCAAGACCTTAATTACTCAGACAGATGTTTTCTGGTCCTAAGTTTATATGCTTCAGGTATTTGTTACTGCAACAGAAAGCTGACTAGAGCATGCCTGGTTTATAGTCACTACTTGGAAGGAACTGGTAGTTTTTTTGTTTTTTTTTTTTCTTCTTCTTTTTATTCCCCTTCTAGACTAAGGATTCTCAAATAGGGTGATTTTTTTTTTTCCCTTTGTCCTTAACCCAGCAGCTATTTGGAAATGCCTGGAGACATTTTTGGTTGGGAGTGCAGGTGTGTTTATGGCATCTAACAGGCTAAAGGTCACAAATATTGCTCAACACCCTGTAGCCTCTGTAAAAAGCATTCTCCAAATGTCAATTGTTACTTGATTGACAACTCTACTACTAGCCTTGAGAAGTAAAGCTCAAAGTGGTTAATTAATTTGCTCAAGGCTGTTTGACTCCTAAACTTGTGGTTTCTCACCCCCAGCCCCAGGACATTTTCTTCAGGGAGATTATAGGAGAAAAGTTCACAGTTTGGAAAATAAAGAGAAGTCACCTGACATATATGTATCTTCCTCAGCTTTCTCTAACAATAAGCAGAAAAGCACAGTAAAAAATTATTCATGGATCTTAATTATGATTGCCAACTTGAGAGGATTTAGAGTTGCCATGGAGACACCTTGGAGCTTGTCTGTGAGGGAGTTTCTAGATTAGGTTAACTGATGTATACGGAACAGCCCTGAATGTGAATGGCACCATTTCCTTGCCTGGTGTTGAGAACTGAATGAATGGGAGAAATGCTTAGCGGCAGCAGTCACCATGCTCTGCTTTCTGACTATGGGCGCCATGTGACCAGCTGCTTCACACCCCTGCTGCCTTGCCTTTCCCGCCATGATAGCCAACAATCTCAAATCATGGTCCAGAATAAGCCCATTCTGCCGTAGGCTGCTTTTGTAAGGTACTTGCCATAGAAATGATAATAAAAAAAAGTAGCTAATACAACCCATACTAATTAAAACTGTGCATTTGTAAGAATATTTAGAAATTAAGCATGAAGACCTTTCCAGGTGTCAGGGCTTTGTCTTGGCCATTTAGAAGGAAGATATTATAACCAGAGTGGTGGCTTTTTTCTAAAAGCCCTGGTCAGGACGCATCTTGGAACCTGCAAGTCATGAAAAGCATGCAGTCTAATAAAGGGCTCCTTGCAGGCTCCAGTTCGAGGGACCCAAGAGCATTATTACCTTTCTTCCGGGATGGGGCATCCCTATCCGCTTCATCATCTTTCTTTTTGTTTCCCAAGTCGCTGGTGTTCACAGTCACTGTTGCCTTGATTTCCTGCTGGGCCACCTTCATTCGGTCATAAAAGACCTTGAAGAACTTCTCTGATTTCTTATCTTCCGTCAACCGGCAGAAAAAGGAATGCTGCCATGGAAAAAACCAAAAAAACAAAAAAGACAAAAAACGATAGATTCTCAACACTGTGACGAGCCCAGGGGAGACAGACTCATTTAAGACCCCAAATTAAATGGAGATCCTAAGCAGTCACTAGTCTCACAAATAACTGAGGACTAGATGATGGCTAAACACCGCTCCACATATCGATCCTCTGGAGTTTAAGGCCTGAGCTTTTTTTCAACAAGGAACCTTCCAAAAAGCTGCTGAACTTGGAGCAGTCCCCCATCCCCGCTGGCTGTGATTCGGTCAGTGAAGACCCACTTCTCTCATCTCTGGACAACACACACAGCAACTCCACAAACAACAAAAATGGAAAATGTTTTAATTACTATTGCGGGGAGGTCATTGTCCCAGGTCGTCTCCATGTTCCTATGCATATCCCTCTAAACGATGAGTGTTAAATATGCCGCCTGCTCCACAGGGCTTATTCATAGGTAAGGATGACCTGGAACCCATGGGCCAGACTGAGATGTACGAGTCACAGGCGCTCAGGAAGGTATTTGATTACATGACAGGAATTTATGAGGGTGATGAGGTGGGTGGGAGCAACTTCAAATTCTTCAAGAATAGGATAGGAAGGCGTTGTTAGATGAAGTTTAGAATTACCAGGTAGCTCGCCTTGTGGATGTGCATTTGTTTTTGGCCCCACTGCAAGCAACAGTGTATATTGTTGATGCGAAAACACAATATGGTGCCTCTACTTCATTTACGAGTGTTCACTTTCACCCCCTTTGCAAGAACCACACTGTTGTGAGCTATTTACATAAAAATACAATACGTTCATTTCCAAAGGAATGAGACAAAGCTCCAGACAATGTATTTCCTGCTCTCAAGAGCTCTTTCTGTCAGCTTCATACCTGATTCTGGCAAGATGGGAGTTCCCACACAGGGGAGCCCTAGGCATCCAATGCTGGAAAGCACTATAACCTTCCTTTCAGCTCCTAACCCCCCCTAACTCCTCTAGTTCTTGCATGTGTGTCTCCCAAAACCCAACTACTCCCAGTCAGATACAGTCAGATACAGTTACCCTGGCTCTCTGGCCACTGACAAACCACAGTGACTAGCATCTGTCCAATTCATGCATGTACTTCCTTGCTGTGTCCTTTCTTCTTGTTCATCATTCTCGACTTCTGGTTCACTCTTGTATACAACACCGGAGCTACCTGTCCTTTGCATACTCTCTGATTCTGACTTTTCCCTCTCAATCATTCCTGAGTGGCTAGCCCCATCTGTACCTCCTTGACCCTGTGCTCATTGAATCCTCTAAGACCCTGCCCCTTCAACTAAGTTTATATTGGAGTGTTCTCCATTGCCCTTTACTGCCTTTTCTTTCTGGCTTCTTCTCATTTCATCCAATCACCCCCCTGCTTCTGTGAACCTGTCACCAGCTAGGCAATGTGCCAAGTACATGAGAAACAGGAGTGAACACAAAGGTGCTGAATGTTCACCTACCATGACACTGGCAGCTTGATGACAAAAAGACACAGTAACTCAACAACCAACCCAATGGTCACCTAAAGACTTATCCTTTTGTCCCAAGAAAGAGATACAAGGGTCTCCTGGAAGACAGTTCTGTGGCAGACATTAATTTCACTGCCTGTTTCTCTCCATAGCTAGACTCTCTTCATCTTCTGGTCACTCCACCAAGGTTACTTTCATAATGAAGGCATCCCTACACAAAGCCCAGGTCAACTGCTTCTTTACAAATGCCCAGTTCTGTTCTTACTGGAACTAGATGCTCTGAAATCTTACTGTTGTATTTACTATCCACCTGCTCACTGGCTGTGCCCAAGTGTAAGCTCCATGAAGGCAGGTGTCTTATTCCCATGACCAACACCAACCACTACAGCACCCTGATAAGGCTTAGCATAGAGTAGGCTCTCCATAGTCATCTGACAGAAAAATGCCAAGAACTTCATGTTCTGTTTCTTCTTTTGACTAGCTCTCCTCAATGGAAAGCAAACTTGACAAAAATAAATGCCATCTAATAAATGTGTTCTAGAAAACTGCTTAAATATCAGAAACCAAGTTCTAATGGTTGCCCTCAGTTGGAGCCAACACATCCACAAATAAAAATCCACGGGAGGATGCAGAACCAAACCACAGTTGCTTAATTCCTGGGACTGGCCTTCCCATGGACACAGGCCATACAACAACTTCCCACACTCAGGGTCACACGAGAGGCTACTCAAGGGAGACTGCTGGGACTCACTTGAAGGCAGGCCCTCAGGAGAATTCATGCAGTTGCCGTACTAGCATGGGGCAACTTTAAAAGAGAATGGGGACAATCTGGTCATTTGGATAAACAAAATACTTCAAGTAAGAAGATATATAAATAAATGAAGGCTGTCATCTATCCCCCCCCCAACAGTGAGAGGTGGCACACAGCTAGCTACCCTGCTGTAAACCACAGGGCTCAGCATCCAGGGGGGGAACCCAGCTGATGTCAGCTGACACCTCCAGGGTAAGGGAAGCTCTCTTGAAATGAGAGAAGGGCAAGGGCTTCTGTGTATGTCTGCAACTGGCCACTCTGTTTATTTCACATTATTTATACCAATCCTCCGTCAGCTCCTGAAGGAGCTTTATAGACAGCTTTATGAAGAGAACAAGACAAAGACTGACTGTAGAAGGTGAGAGAGATGCATACCCACTCCCCACTGTTTCATCAACAGAAGTGCAATCTGTGTCTGGAGTGTCACTCTTCACAGAGAAGGCAATACATGGTGTGGGTCTCAATCTCAGGTCCCTCATATACTTCTGTGTCTCTACCCAGGTGAAAGGGCTGCCCACTGCATATGGGATGCACATCCCAGGCCCACCACCTGGCTTTGGCTCCACCAACCAGGGTCATTCTAGAAAATAATAGTCTCTGATGTCTTGCTCTCCTCATCTGCAAAATGAGTACAGTGTGGTGGTCTCGAAGTCCAACCTCAAGGTTTAGAGCCACCCTCAGGAGGTCAGTGTCACTGGCTTCTTCAACAGGCACCAGGAGGAAACCTTTTGTTCAGCCTCTTAACCCAGGACCTGCTGAGTGTTAGTTCTCAAGACCCTAAAAGATAGTGCATGATAAATACTTTAGCGTGCCCTGGACACTGCCACTGATTAGGAAGAGAGTGACCTCACCAGGACACCCAGGGGGAGTGGTTTAGGGCATAATGGAGTCCAGGCTCAGGCTCTCAGAAAGACCAAGTTACAAAAAGACAGTTTGAAGACGACTTCCGGTCTCTCAAAGGAAGTGGTAGCATCTTCTGTAAGAAGAGAAGTGAATGCTGAGGGCAGAGAGAGTGAAGAAGTGGAGCTTTCTACAGCACAGTGAGGTGCAGCATGTGGAGAGGACAGATATGGAACCACTCTGGGACAACCTGGCAGAGTCAGCCAGGTTGTGTGTCTTCTCCCTGGTGAGATGTAGACGTTAAGAGACTGAGCCCTTCTCACACCTCACAGGTCTGCTCACCTCATTAAACCTTTTTTCTAAGGTAACCTGTCTATGGTGCTAAGGAGAGAGAGAAGGTATGGCTTGTCACACCACGTGGGGCTGAGGACCAGGGCAAACAGATACACAGCTCCCAAAGACTCAGCCCTACTTTGTCTCATGTCCAATTTCTTCCCTGCACCTTTTTCAGTGAATTGCCTCTTCCCCCAGGCCAAGAACTGTCACACAGAGACTTTACTTTTTTTGAATCTTTCCCTCCATACCACCTGGCCGGTGTCAGGGAACCCTTTGATACAAATCTAGCCCAGGGCAAGAAACACTAGATGGCAACCAAAATCAAAATGGCAGTTATCTCTGTGGGTAGTGATGGGAAGTACTATAAAGGGGGATAAGATAATGCTCCGGAGTGAAGGAACCATCTTGATGAGAGTGGCAGCTGCACAGATGTTGTAACAAACAAGGGGCTTCTTGAAGACATCCACATCCTCATCACTGAATCCCGTCAATGTGCCTGTACCTTACACTAGGAATTAATGTGGCAGACAGAATGATTGACAGCTAACCAAACTTCAACAATGAGACAATCCTGGATCACTACAGCCCCAACCACCCCCCCCCCCCCCCCCCCGCCCCCACTGTCATCACAAGAGAATATTTCCATTGGAGGAAGGAGGCCAGGAGGAGAGCAATGACATGAGGAGTCAACTCCTGCTGTTGTATTTAAAGGAGGAGGCTGGTAGCCTAGCTAAGAGCATAACCACCTTGTAGAAGCTGCAAACAGCCAGTAAGGGGAGTGTCCCTGGAGCCTGTATCTGGGAATACGGCCTTGCTGGCACCTGGATTGTAATCTAGAAAAAAATGATGTTGAACTTGTAAGATAATGAATTTAGTAACCCAAAGCCTCTAGGTTTGTGGTCATCTGTTACTGTAACCATACAATAGGTGTAAAAACATTTACAAATCTAATCAAGTTCCACTCTTTAAATCTGTACATATTACTGTGGCTAAAAATTGCACCACACTGAAGAGACAAGCCTGTTTTGGTTCCCAGAATGCTAGGGAACTTTGGTAATGAATACAGATGGGGCCACTTTCAGAACATCCTTGGTCACCCGAGGGAACGGCATCTGCCTACCCCTCAATGACCTGTCCTCACCCTTCTGTTATCTCCTGATCACACTGGATGCCAAAACCCTTTTCAGAGATGCTGTCTCATCAGCATCTGAAGAGATCGCCAAGATAGATAGCATCGTTCATCAACCCAGCACACTGCACACATCGCAGCACTAGGGTCACGGGAGGTCAGAGGCTTGTGGCAGAGCCACAGAAAATTCTCTACTTCTTGCCCAACAGGAAAATGGCCTTGGTGGGCAGACATGAGCAGAGGCTTGAAAAGCAGAGGAAACAGGGCTTGTTCAGGGGCAGACACTCACTGCCAAGCTGAGGTATGGCAGGCTTGCCCATGACATGCTTGAGGGAAGGAAGTGGGGTCAGGAGAAGGGTGAGGAAGTGGCTGCAGGCCCCAGCCATCTCC